GTTATTGCACTGTTGTCAACAATACTGAATAACTCAGGACATGGCTATCAAACATCAAAAACATCTGCCAGACTATCCCACCTCCTTTACATGGATGATCTGAAGCTGTATGGAAAAACATCATCTGAAATAGAATCGCTGCTCAACACTGTCTGTATATATAACCAAGATATTGTAATGGAGTTTGGCTTGGACAAATGTGCCACACTTACTATCAAACAAGGAAAAATAGTGAAAACTGAAGGAATCAAGATGCCCCACGAAAATAGCATTAAGAGTCTGGATGAGGAAGAGTACTACAAATACTTGGGTATCCTTCAAGCTGACAACATCAAGCACACTGAAGTCAAGAAAAAGGTTAGAGGTGAATACATGAAGAGAGCGAAGAAGATCTTAAAGTCCAAACTCAATGGAGGAAATACCATAAAGGCAATCAACACCTGGGCAATCCCAGTCATTAGGTACACAGCTGGAATAGTGGACTGGACTCAAGCAGAACTAAAAGCAATGGATAGGCAGACCAGAAAAATAATGACAATGAATCATGCCCTTCATCCACGCAGTGACATTGATAGACTTTATCTACCAAGGCAAATAGGTGGGTGTGGAATGCTACAAGTACATCAGATGGTTGAAGAAGAAAAAATGGCTTTGTATCTGAAGAACAATGGTGAAGATGCACTGAAATTAGTATATCAGGAAGGCTTACTGACTACTGGAGAGACCAAACTGGCCTACAAGAAAGACCAAATGAAGAACACAATAGAGGCATGGGAAGACAAAGCACTACATGGCCAATACATGAAAAAAATAGCTGGGAAAGCAGATAATAATAAAAACTGGCAATGGCTAAGAGCAGGAAAATTGAAGAAAGAGACCAAGGGACTAATTCTGGCTGCACAAGACCAAGCCTTAAGGACAAATGCATACAAAGTCAAAATTGAGGAGACAGCAACAGACAGTAAGTGCCGCCTATGCAAAGAAGCTGAAGAAACAGTGGACCACTTGGTAAGCTGTTGCAAGAAGATTGCACAGACTGATTACAAGCAGCGGCATGACAAAGTAGCAACAATGGTGCATTGGAAGATCTGCAAAAAAAAAATCATTTGCCTGTAAGCAAAAACTGGTGGGATCATAAAATAGAGAAAGTCATAGAAAATGATAAAATTAAACTGCTCTGGGACTTCAGAATTCAAACAGACAAGCACCTGCAACATAACACCCCAGACTTAACAATTGTCGATAAGAAAGACAAAAAAGTCTGGATAGTGGACGTGGCAGTGCCTGGAGATAGAAGAATAGAAGAGAAAGAACTGGAGAAAATAACAAAATACAAAGACCTACAAATAGAAATAGAAAGACTGTGGCAAAAGCAAGTAAGGGTAGTACCAATAGTAATAGGCTCCTTGGGTGCAATCCCAAAACAACTGGAGCACCACTTGAACACCATTGGCATTGACAAATTCGCTATTAGTCAATTGCAAAAGGCGGCCTTATTAGGAACTGCTTCCATCCTGCGACGATATCTGTAATACCATCAAACATCCACATCTGCCTATCCCAGGTCCTGGGTAAGGACTCGATAGGTAGACAAAATGCCAAATCCAGTCTGAACACCTGGCTGACTGTGCGATGATACATAATAATAATAATAATAATAATAATAATAATAATAATAATAATGTTGGAAGGGACCTTGGAGGTCATCTAGTCCAACCGCCTGCTATCCCATTTCAGACAAATGGCTATCCAGTTTCTTCTTAAAAACTTCCAGTGTTGGAGCATTCACAGCTTCTGGAGGCAGGTTGTTCCACTGATTAATTGTTCTAACTATCAGAAAATTTCTCCTTAGTTCTAGGTTGCTTCTCTCTTTGGTTAGTTTCCATCCATTGCTTCTTGTCCTGCCTTCAGGTGCTTTGGAGAATAGTTTGACTCCCTCTTTTTTGTGGCAATTGGACCACTGTTCTCATGTCACCCCTCATCTTTCTCTTCATTAGACTTGTTGTTGTTAGTTGCGAAGTCGTGTCGACCCATCGCGACCCCATGGACAATATTCCTCCAGGACTTCCTGTCCTCTACCATCTTTTGGAGTCTATTTAAGCTCACACCTACTACTTCAGTGACTCCATCCAGCCACCTCATTCTCTGTCGTCCCTTTCTTCTATTACCCTAATTCTTTCCCGGCATTAGGCTCTTCTCCAGTGAGTCCTTCCTTCTCATTAGGTGGCCAAAGTACTTGAGATTCAGCTTCAGGATCTGCCTTCTAAAGAGCAGTCAGGGTTAATTTCCTCTAAGACTGACCGGTTTGATCACCTTACAGTCCAGGGGACTCGCAGGAGTCTTCTCCAGCACCATAGTTCAAAGGCCTCAATTCTTTTGTGCTCAGCCTTTCTTATGGTCCAACTTTCACAGCCATGTATTGCACCTGGGAAAACCATGGCCTTGACTATACGTACTTTTGTTGGCAGGATGATGTCTCTGTTTTTTAGTATGCTGTCTAGATTTGCCATAGCTTTCTACCCCAGGAGCAAGCGTCTTTTAATTTCTTGCCTGCAGTCCCCATCTGTGGTGATCTTGGAGCCCAGGAAGATAAAATCTGTCACTACTTCCATTTCTTCCCCATCTATTTGCCAGGAATTGAGAAGGCCAGATGCCATGATCTTGGTTTTCTTAATGTTGAGTTTCAAGCCAACTTTTGCACTCTCCTTCACCTGCATCAAGAGGCTCTTTAGTTCCTCTTCACTTTCTGCCATTAGAGTGGTATCATCTGCATATCTTAGGTTGTTGATATTTCTCCCAGCAATATTAATTCCAACTTTTGATCATCTAGCCCTGCTTTTCTCATGATGTGCAATGGTGCGATAGTTTGAACATTCTTTGGCATTGCCTTTCTTTGGAATTGGAATGTAAACTGACCTTTTCCAATCCTGTGACCACTGTTGAGTTTTCCAAATTTGCTAGCAAATTGAGTGTAGCACTTTTACTACATCGGCTTTTAAGATTTTGAATAGCTCAGCTGGAATACTATCATCTCCACTAGCTTTGTTGTTGCTCAGCTTTCCTAAGGCCCATTTTACTTCATATTCTAGGATGTCAGGCTCGAGGTCAGTGACCACCCCATCATGGTTATCAGGGACGCTAAGCTCGTGCTTGTATAGTTCTTCTGTGTAATTTTGCCACCACTTCTTAATCTCTTCTGCCTGTTAGGTCCCTGCCATTTTGGTCCTTTATCATGCCCATCTTTGCATGAAATGTTCCCTTCATATTTCCAATTTTCTTGAAGAGATCTCTGGTTCTCCCTATTCTATTGTTTTCTTCTATTTCTTTGCACTGTTCATTTAAGAGGGCATTCTTATCTCTTCTAGCTATTCTTGGAATTCTGCATTCAATTGGGTGTATCTTTCTCTTTCTTCCTTGCCTTTCGCTTCCCTTCTTTCCTCAGCTATTTGCAAAGCTTCCTCAGATAGCCATTTTGCTTTCTTGCATTTCTTTTTCTTTGGGATGGTTTTAGTTGCTACCTCTTGTACAATGTTGCGAACCTCCGTCCATAGTTTTTCAGGCACTCTATCAGATTTAATTCCTTAAATCTATTGGTCACCTCTATTGTATATTCATCAGGGATATGATTTAGTTCATACCTGAGTGGCCTAGTGTTTTTCCCTAGTCATTACTCTAGACATACCCAATTCCAGCAACTGTTCCTTATATGTTTTAGCCTCCAGTCCCCTGATCGTATTTGTTGCTCTTCTCTGTACTCCTTCTAGAGTCTCAACATCTTTTTTTACATCATGGTGACCAAAACAGGATGCAGTATTCCAAGTATGGCCTTACCAAGACATTGTAAAGTGGCATTAACACTTCACGTGATCTTGATTCTATCATTCTGTTAATGCTGCCTAGGACTGGCCTTCTTGGCAGCTGCAGTACACTGCTGGCTCATATTTAAACGATTGTCCACTAGGACTCCAAGATCCCTTTCACAGTTGCTACTATTGTGCAAAATACCATCTATACTATACCTGTACATTTGGTTTTTCTTGCCTAAATATAGAACCTTACTTTTTTTGCCATTGAATTTCATTTTGTTAGATAGCGCCCAATGATAAAGTCTGTCAAGATCCTTCTATATCTTAAGCCTATCTTCTGGAGTGTTGGCTATTCCTGCCAGCTTAGTGTTGTCTGCAAACTTGATGAGTTCCCCATCTATCCCCTCATCCAAATCGTTGATGAAGATGTTGAAGAACACTGGGCCCAGAACAGAGCCTTAGGGCACCCCACTACACACTTCCCTCCATGTAGATTCAATTCCATTGAGGACCATACGTTGATTATGGCCAGTCAGCCAGCTATGAATCCATCTGGTGGTGATGCTGTCTAACCCACATTTTCCTATCTTATCAAATAGTAGGTTGTGTTCTACTTTATCAAATGCCTTACTGAAGTCCAAGTGAATTATTTCCACAGCATTCCTCTGGTCCACTAATTTTGTCACCTGGTTAAAGAATGCAATAAGATTTGTCTGGCATGATCTGTTTTTGATAAACCCATGTTAGCTTTTGGTAATGACTTTGTTTTCCTCTAGGTGTTCGCTGATTCGTTGCTTGATTATCTTTTCCAAGATCTTCCCAGGTATTGAGGTGAGGCTGATAGGTCTATAGTTTCCTGGATCCATTTTTTTTCCTTTTTTGAAGATGGGAACTACATCAGCTCTTTTCTAGTCCTCTGGTAATTCCCCAGTGCTCCAGGATATATAATATGATTCATATGATATAAAATGTAATTAAATGTTATGTTAGAAGTACTTAGAAAAGAAAGGAAGGGGACTTTTGAGTAAATTAAAGCTGACACTGTTAAAACTTGTGTAGAATTAAATGGATGCTGTTTTATGTGCCCCTGGATTTCACTGTTTGCACTTAACAGAAACAGTTTCACAGCAAGCTTCTTTTGCTGGACCAAAGCTTGGGTTGGATTAATTAACACTGATATTTTAATCTACTTACTGCCTGCAGCTGGAGGAGTAGGTCATTTTTCTCCTGTACAAGAGAAACTTGCTTTTCTTCAAGTTCTTTCCTTCTGGCTTCTGATTTTTCTAAGGCCTCCTTCAGTTTCAGGAACTCTTCTTTCATATTAGCCATTTCTTTTTCAGTCTCTGCTGATTTTAGGAGGGGTTTGATCTTAAAGAATAATTTCATCCAGGGCCAATTTTTCACAACCATGAAAGCTCGAATGTTCCACTGGATCACAAGCAGGGCATCTCTGAAGAAAAGAAGGAAGGAAGGAAGGAAGGAAGGAAGGAAGGAAGGAAGGAAGGAAGGAAGGAAGGAAGGAAGGAAGGAAGGAAGGAAAGAAAGAAAGAAAGAAAGAAGTAAGTCTTAGTTTTCTGAAATGGAGCCAACTTTAGTACTAGTACTTAGATCTTTCCTTGTGGTCTTAGTCCTGTGTAATAACTTTTTCCTTTTATGTACTAAATACTATATTGATGCTACATATTTAAAAAATTCCTATTTCTAGATTGTATGCTTCATTTTGTGTACACCATTTCTATATTTATTCTGCATTTTCAAAGCAATAAAGTGCAGTTATCTATTTTTGCACATCATCAGAAACAGCTGTAACAGTTACTATTAATATGTATACATGTTTATTTCTTTGAAGTAAAACCAGACCTGACCATTTTTTTTTTTGAAAAAGATAGAGCTGTGGGAATTGTGGGGGTGGATATAGATTAACTCTTACCAAATACAGCCTCCACAAACAAAACAAATAAATAAAACAAAAAACTATTACTAACTATTATCAAAATGGAGAATTTGCATTCACAGTTAAATTATAAGCTTATATTGCAAAAGATACATGAGGCCACTACAGAAATTTATACTATACTGAAAGAATCCACTTCAGAACTAAGATCTAGAAACTTCACTTCAAACATGCAAATGGATGACCAGACTACACTTGACTATTTTACAAACCAAATTACATAAGAGGAACCAACTGAGATAAAAGTGGAGCTTATTTTACCTTACAAGCCTTTCATCTGTAACTTTGAGGAACAGAAGAAGCAAGGACTGAGATTTGAAATTATAAAGCAACAATATTTTAAAGAGGAGAAAAACAGACATCTGATGCAGAGGATGGGACTTTTATTTCTTCAAAGGCCATTCCAAGCAACAAAAGTAGACTTATTGATTGAAAGGGAAGCGTGTTTATGGAAACCTACTTGGTACAGGAAAAAACCTAGAATTAGACTTAAAAGAGAAATTTAAAATTGTGTAATGGAATAAAAGGCAATACTGGATTTATGGATTGTTTTAAGGACTAAGATTCAGAGTTAGAAGCAACTAAATATATATACATATGGGAGTGTGATTATTAGAGTAGATATTTTAAATAGATTAAGAATGTATTGGATTGTACTTATGTAGCGTTTGGGAAATATGTGAAATTTATTATTTACTGGAATTGCAAAAATGATGACTGCTTAGATTGGGATGCTTTTAATAATTTGTGGAATGTTTTAAATTACTAGGATAGATTTCTTGTATGACAATAAAGACATGATAAGGCATGATAAGCTGGAGAAAGTTTGAACTTTGTTTAATTAATATGAATGAATCAAGGTTTAGTATTATTTTGTTATTTTAAAGAGATGGATTGACTTTGGGATTACGTATATATAGGGCTGATCAATATTTTATTGCTATTAAGATATCTATTGTATAGTGGAAGAAGAAATAAATGAGTGGTATAAAATGAGGGATGTGAGAGATTAAGAATTAGAATTGATAATTTTTTGATTTAAATTTAAACTATTGTATTTGTAAACTGATAAAGTTATAACACAGGTTTAATAGTGATAGAAATTGTTAATTTAATTGAGTATTTGGATAAGAACAATCAAGTCCCTGTAGTATTGATATTTTTGGATTCTGAAAAAGCTTTTGATCAGTTGAATTGGCAATTTTTATTGAAAGTTGTTGATAAAATGAATTTTGGGGATAAATTTTTATATTCTCTTAGGGCTATATACCAACAACAATCGGCACAAATCATAATTAATGAGGGATTAACAGAGGCATTTAAAATTGAAAAGGGTACAAGACAGAGATGTCCATTGTCGCCATTGTTGTTTGTTTTAACAATGGAGATTTTACTGATTAAAATTCGTGAATCAACTATAATAAAGGGAATAAAAATAAAAAAGAATGATTATAGGTTGAGAGCTTTTGCGGATGACTTGGTTGTGACACTATCTCAACCGATTCAATCAGTTATAGACTTGATAGAAATTATAACTCAGTATGGGAAAGTTTCTGGTTTTAAGGTAAATAATAATAAGACTAAAATATTATCTAAAAATATGATTATGAAGGAAAAGGAAATGTTAGTTAAATTGACAGGTTTTGAAATAGTGAAAAAGGTTAAATATCTGGGAGCATATATTACAGCCTCGAATATAAAATTGTATAAAAATAATTATGACATATTATGGTTAAAAGTACAAAAGGACTTAAAAAATTGGAAAAAATTACAGTTATCCTTGTTGGGGAAAATTTCAGCTGTTAAAATGAATGTTCTACCAAAGTTTTTTTTTTTTTGTTTCAAATGATACCTATTTTTTAAAAAAGAAGCCAATTTGGATGAATGGCAGAAAGGTATTAATAAATTTATTTGGGTGGGGAAAAAACCAAGAATTAAATTTAAGATCTTACAAGACGCACGGGAAAGAGGAGGACTTAAGGCGCCTAATTTGAAATTATACTATGATGCGGTGGTTTTAACACTGGTTAGTGATTGGCTTAATTTAACAAATAAAAGTATACTTCACCTTGAGGGATGGGATTTATTATATGGGTGGCATGCATACTTAATTTATAACAAAAAAGTTGACCAGGCTTTTAAATCTCATATTTTAAGAAGTGCTTTACTGTGTGTCTGGAAGAAGTATTATTATAGGTTAAATTATAAAATACCAATCTGGGGGATTCCTGGACACATGATAGAGAGGATATCTATGGGTGTGAATTTGGATAGGATTTTTATAAGGAATTACTTAGATTGATAGGGAATGATTGGCAATTAAAACCACTAGTTGAGTTAAAGCAAGAAAATATTGTACAGTCTTGGTTTCAGTATAATCAATTGTTGGTTAGGTGGAAGTTAGATCAAAAGATTGGTATTACCTTAATGGATGAGAATTTGGTTAAACAGATTAAAGATCAAAATCGAGAGCATATAAAGAGAATTTATAATGCTTTAATAGAATTGGATTCGGAAATGGATTTAGTTAAAGATTGTATGGTAAAATGGGCCCAAAATATTCAAGAACTGAATCCATTGGATATATGGGAGGTAATTTGGGTTAGAAATGTAAAATTTACCCAGGCCCAAAATTTAAGAGAAAATTTTTACAAAATGTTTTATAGATAGCATCTGGATCCTAAAAAGTTGTCTTGTATGTATCCCAATTTACAGCCCAAATGTTGGAGATGTGGTAGCTTGGATACTACTTATTTTCATATCTGGTGGACCTGTAGAAATATAAAAGCTTTTTGGATTAAGATTTGGTGGAACATTCAAAAGATTTTTAGAAGAAAGATAAAGTTTACCCCGCAATTATTTTTATTGGGTGTTATTGTAGATTGTGATGCTAAAGAAATGAATTTGATGTTGAACTTGATAACAGCTGCAAGGTTATTGGTAGGGCAATATTGGAAGAAGGATTGCTTGCCTACTATAGAAGAATGGACGCTTAAAGCGTCAAATTTAGCAGAAATGGCGAAAATTTCTGCTTACTTGAAGGATCATTCACAAGAAAGATACATTTCGGTCTGGAGAAGATGGATAGATTATATTCAGAATAAATATGGGACTAAAAAGTTCCATTTAGTTTATGAGTAAATTTTAGAGTATTATTATTGTTAATAGTTTATTATAGTTGAATTTTTATTAGTTTTATTATTATTTTTAGTATTAGTATTGTTTAACAATTTGGATATTGTATTGTTTAATAATATTGACTTGTTTATATTATTATGTTTATTTTTAATTTGTTTATACTTATGTTAAAGGGGAGTTAAAGCGCATTAGGACTTGGTTATTTATATAGTTGGTTAATGTTAGTTAGAGTTTGATTATTATATTTGTAAACCTGTACTCATCTCTGGGAAGTGGGGGAGGGAGAGGGGGGTTTAGGGTAGGTGGGTTTTGGTGTGTATACTGTAATTTTTATAAAACTTTTCAATTAAAGAATAGTGATAGAAATTTAAAATAGAAATGGAATATTTAAATATATTGTGTTAACTGAGGGGAATAGAGAGGGGATAGTGAAATTTATTGAGTTGTGTTGTTTATATATATTTTCACTTTTGAATGTTTGACCACCTAACCATCACGGTGGGTCTTGAGTACTTTTTGTTTAAGAATGTTAAAAAAACCAATAAAATGTCTTTTAAAAAAAAAGATAATAATATGGAGAAAAAAGAAAAACAATACCTTTTTTTCTAGCATTTCATGGCATTATTCACAGTTATGAAATATCAGATACTACATGAATTAGTTCAAATTTCCATTTCATAAACTCCTACTACCTCCTCAAGCTAGTCCCTTCACATATGTAATTTTAGACAACAAATTCCTTGTCTACATGGTGAAATTGAACCTGGCTTTTAAATTTGGAAGCTGCATTATCTGGATGATGGCAGGCTGAGGAAAATTGCTGTATAATATAATTACTTGGAAAAGAGAAGTAAAGATTTATTCCCAGTATATAGTGTCATGAAGAGTATGTAGCATAATACCTTCGTTCTACCATCTTCTGGAACTCAATTTGCATCAGTTTGCCTCGGGCTCTTGCTTGAATTAATGTTAAGATCTTGGCTAATCTCTCATCTCTCATTTCTTCCAGATGGCCTAGGAGACCAGCTTTAAAAAAAACCTGAAATACATGACATCAGTCTGTCAAATAAATTTAATCAATTGTTATTGGTGACACATAGATTAGTTTCAGACATGTAACAAAGCACAACAATGTAAGGGCATAATAATAGCTGTATCAGCACACTGCAATAGCAAGATAAAAATAGTAGTGTATGAAATCTTAATGTGGATTTAGAAGAAGTGATATTGCATTATCCAGTGCATAAGGTGATTAATTAATTAATTGAAATTACTATTGACTCTTGAAATATAAAAATGTAGCTCATTTTTCTTTAAATTAAAAATTGTAAAAGCAAATGAGAACAATAATATAAGTCTGTACTATAGAGCTTAGAATATACCTTTTTCCATTAGGCTTTTTCTTTAATAAAAATTGCCATTTAGTCCTAATACTAGGTCCAATTTTAATGATCCTGCTATTAATTTACTTTCACTGCATTCTGCATCAATGCAGTTTTATTCTTTTTTAATTTTTATTTTTTTTTTCTCAGGAGGTTTTATGTATATGAAAATCCAAATTACCAACATCTCTCTTGGATTTTAATTTTAAACAGATTAGTTCAATTCTGGCCTAAACTTTAAAATTACTACTTAATTTTCAGTAGACATTTGGAAAAGATGAATGCACTGAGGGTTCAAACAGTATTCCATTCTATCTTTCCAGGCTATGAAAAAGACAGGGAAGGAAAATGCAAATAGTATAAATGAAATATGATATGGAAATTGTGTCGATAGGAGAGATTTGGATTCTGGGACCACAGACAAAGTTGTCTTGAAGATGGACTGGGTGCTTGAATAAGATAACTGAGGACTTGTTAAGTATCAGGCTAGAAACTGAGAGACTGTGCGTGATCTTGGCTAGTCACTTTCTCTCAGCCCTAGGAAAGAGGCAGCGACAAACCATTTCTGAAAAACCTTGCTAAGAAAACTAAAAGGACTTGTCCACAAATTTCTTCATAAATAAATTAAGTAAAATAATTATTTTGCTTTGGTCAGACCTTATTTTTATTACTGAGCTCATTTGGAATAAGTTCAGAGAAGGATAATGAAATGATTGGGGGCTAGAAATTCCCATGAAAGGATATTGAAGGACGGGTTAAGGGTATTTTCCACTGGGAAGAAAAGGCTGAGAATACTGCAACAGCATTCTTAAATGTACAAATGTAATAAAGTGTTAAAAATTGGTTTAGAACTGGGACTGAAACTAAAATACATAGAAACAGTTTACCTGCTATGCTGTTTACTCTTACAACTGCTGACAGAAGCAAAGTGATAGATGTGTATATACAAATAAGTGTAAACATAATAACAAAGAAATATTGTCTTTATATCTCATTGCTAAATGAAATTGCTCTAGTCACTGTGCCATATTCCACAATGTGGAAGGCTAGACAATCTAGCAATGAAAATATATCTTCTTCTGGATGGTACACATGCAACCCTGGGAGCTTTTCTGTTCCAACTCTAGGATTCTATGAAGGATATAATATAATTTTTAAAAATAAATATATTAGTAGAAGGAAAGCTAGGTCACAGATTTTTTTTATTCTAGTAAAGATTTTTGCAAAGTTCATCTTTTCTGGAACTTAATTAAAATATGCCAGCTACACTACAGTTGACAGGAGGAGCAGCAAGTCAATAATTAACTCTTCTTCTAGCCTAGCAATGTGTTTAAATCTATGTGTTAAATAGAGAAGTGGGTGTAAGCAGGAAAGAAGGTAGGTTCATGAAGGGAGAGAAAGTGTTAGATTTCACAAATGCTATATGGGAACAAAGGCAAGTAATCTTACAATAATAGCCACTATCCTTCTTCAACTGTGGTCCTTTGACAAGTGGATGGTTGTTAATCTTTTGGCTTTGGTGCAAGAAAAAAGCAATCATTGGAAAGTGGTGGGCCCCAGACTGAAGGTGGCCAGTCTAGTACTTGACAGTATCAAATATATCAAATATCAAAGTATCAAAGACAGTATCAGAGATAACTGAAATTATTTTTCTGTATTTTATTTGAGGCAAGGAAACCAATCATCTAAAATAGAAATCCAAGTTTATTTACTACTCTGGATTTCCTGTCACATTCCGTATATACAATAAATAGCCTCTGTCATAGAAAAAGGAAAGCTTTTGAAAGTTTCAAAAGCATCCTGCTCAAGTTTTAATAGAGATTTAGGAAATTTAAATGGGAATAAATATTACAACATTTTGCCTATCTGTATAAACTGCAGGTTAGCAAGCAGCAGGAGTTTTAAATCAGATCTAAGGCAGGATGTCTGTTAGTGATTTATAAAGGCTTCTACAGTAATTCAACTACCATTGTGCCAATATAACAAAACAAAGGCAGGTTTTATATCATTATTATGGCCGAGTATTGCTAGAAGATTCTCTACATGACTAGTGGAGAAATGGTCTCAGTTGATACCAAAAATGATACCAAAAATATATGAATGCTGATTGATTTGTCAGCCCAGATACAGTAAAACCATTTGGACCGAAATGTAGCTGATCCCTACCCAAGGCACTTTAGGAATGCTTCTCCCTTTATGTATTTGTTGTCAACCTGGCTACAGTAAAACCGTTTGGACCCAATTTACACAGTGGCTGATCCCTACTCAAGCACTTTAGATATGCTTCTCCCTTTATGTATTTGAACCATAACAGCATTCTGGTAAGCTATTTACAATGGAACAACTCTGCTTATGCAAAGAAGCCAATTGAGAATCTAGAGAAAATTGGAGTAATGTTGTCCATTTCTTCAGGTTGGGGCAACACCGCATTGTAGAAGGATTTCAAGGATGACTATAAATCCACAGGATTAAACCTTTTTTTGCATTAAAAGATTCATACAATTGATTGAAATCTCACGTAATCTCTACCTGTGGATAGCAAGGTTATGGACCTGGTAGTTGATCTGTTTTAAATCTTTCCTTTCCTTCTTGAGATAAAACTATTCTTCCTAAATATAATGCAGACAGACCTTATCAATAGGGCTACATATCAGAAGATATGTGATTAAATAATATAAATTCCAACTCTCCTTATAATAGTTATTTCAACATTCTAAAGAGTTCTGATCCAGATACCAGCTAGGAACATGCCTTTCCATTTTCTCCATTGCTGGCTTAAGTGAACTGCTTTACCTTGGTGTGCCCAAAGCGATACTGGTTATGCTCAATATCCAAAGAGCCCAATAATTTTTCAGCAGCTTTTCTGCTATCCACAAACTTGTCCTCTGGAATTGCAGAAGGATTCAGGATGCGATATCTGGTAAGAGCAGATAAATAACTGACGAATAAATTAAACTCCAGACCATGGTATAATTCCTTCCTTGATTTAGGAATCAGGAAGTCTACTAATACCTCAGAGTTTGTGCCTTTGCACAACAAGCTTAATACTTCAGTAAAAAAAAAAAATTAGACATTGTATTTAATTTATGCATACTAAACTTATTTGTTTATTTATTTATTTAAAACATTCATATAACTTGATTGGTTTTAATCTGGATTATTTTTTGTGGTTTGGCACAAAAAGGATTTGATTAATATTTCAGGGTACTGTATGAACACAAAAATGTAACCAGTTTAAGTATGTTAAGTGAACTCAGACACTTTGTCCACCTAATCAAATATGTCTACATCAGTCTTTCTCAATCTGATGCTCTTCAGAGATGCTGTAACTGCAACACCAGAATTTTTAACCTACTCTGGCCCACCATCCTTGCTGGATGAAAATTCTAAATATTTGAGGATGATAAAGCTGGATAACCACAAGTTTATGCAATTCTGCAAAAATGTGTTTATTTTCAGAAGTTGAGAAGTGCACTACATATGCACTCTGTGGAATCGGAAGCATCCTTTTGTTCTCTTTGAATGCAAACTATTGCGTATTCTAAAATATATATTTCATGTTGTCGGGTTTTTTTATTCAGTTTGGTCAGAATAAATGAAGAACTGGGTCTACTGAGATGCCATTAAACAACAAATATTAATTCTGCAAGGGTAACAATTTGACTGTGCCATTGTTCTTCACATTACCTTTGTTTAAAGTCAGCATAAATGACTCTATTAGGAAAGCCTTTGCGGCAAATGCGGATTCCTTCCAAGACACCATTACAGCGAAGTTGATGGAGGACAAGGAAAGGATCCATTGCCCCTGAAATGATAGGACAATAAATGCATTCCTATATATGCATGCTTAAAAGCAGGACTTTCCCCCATTAGATTAAGTATTAAAAACAAAATATATTCTTAGAGAAAACATAGACTTTTACCTGGAGTTTTTGATTCATTGGGAATAATGCAACGCACAAAATGAGGAGCTGTAGATCGTAAATTAGTCATCAATTTGTTTAAATTTTCCTAAATATACAGAGAATAAATAAATAAAAGCTTAACAATAAAATTATAGACAGTATAAATTGCCATTTATATCACAAAACTTTTAAATTATTTAAACATTTAAATCACAAAACTGCATCTCACTTACTTTGGCCATGTCATGTTGGGGAATTCACTGGAGAAAGCAATTATGTTTGGAAGAGTTATATCCTAAATTATCATACTAACTTTATAGAACACTAACAGTAGTTCTCTGCTGTCTATTCAGGTTTTTTCTTAAAATTAAGTATTCTTACTTTGTTATTATTTAGATATAATGTTAAATAGTAATGTTATATCATATGACAATGAGTTTGGGTGAGTTTTGCATATTCAAATCTAACATTCCTTCCTCTGTAGAAGATTAGAAACAGCTGCTTTTTAAAAGTGGAAGTATATTGTTGTGATGTCCATCTTGGATTACATGATGTTTAGGTACAAATTATAATTGTTAGCCTAGCGGAGGAGAGAACATATTAAATATGATGTACTGAAGTTGTTAACTGTGTATTCACATTTTAATGAAATGAAATCAAATTCACTTTTTGTCCTATAATTTTTTTCTTAATCCTTCTGACATAAGGTCTTCCACATATTATTTACAGATTGGATGCAGCCTTTTTCTTGAAAAAAGTTATACACCATGTACACCACATCATCTAATTTTAAACTATTATTTATTTAAATAGCAACCAATTTGATTGGGATAGTATAAGTCTCCTGCCTTGAGCAAGGAGTTGGACTAGAAGACCTCCAAATTCCCTTCCAGTCCTAAGATTCTATGATTCTAAACAAGCATCAGTTTTACCCCCCCCCCTTCTCTCTTGTTGTTCACTCAGGCAATCTGGTCTTTCTAGCAAGATCTGTTCCTGCCCTTTTACACCACATTTTGGGGATTGCTGGGCCAAAAGGATCTTGTTAACATATTCCCATTCTGAACAAAGATAATTTTAATGAATTAAATACATTGAAGGAAGCTCTATCTTCTGTATTAAATGTTAACACTGAAATACAAACAAAATTAAACACAGAATATTCAGTCTTGAAAGTGTGATCTCTATTTATTTAGCAATTATTCTATTTATATATTTGAGTATGATAAGCAGAAGTTGCATTTTTTATCCAGAACTGCACATTTTCTACAATTTGGGCAAAGCCACAAATGTTATCAATGGCAAAAATATTACTTAATACTGTATATGGAATGTAAGCAATAATTTTTCATCTATGAAAATGGCCACATCTGGATCTTTGTTTTTGAAGTATAAGCTCTCACGGATTCTCAGATATACATTATCTATGAGAGCCTTTGGGCCATGGTTTGCTAAACAAACAATTATGGCCTATTGCACTTATTGCATAAGTAGATTTGCATTTCAAAAACTCTACATTATGGTTTAGCATTATATATTAGCAGAACTATAAAAAATTCAGATTAAATTCTGAACTCCTAAAGGGTAAATTCTGTCCAATTATTTTTACCAAAGTAGACATGCCAGCCACCTTTGAAAAAGAATCCAGATGACTGGAATGTGTCTTTGGTCGCTGATCTAATTCTGAGAAATATAACCACCGGTAGCCATGAAAACAGCAATGAATCCTGTGGAGCTTTAAGTATTCATATAATTACTTTAACAAGTAGTTCTTTTTTTAAGTTAACATGCTGAAAATTCAAATCTTGCAAAATCACTTTTTAATTATTGCTCTGTTTCATTCGATTATACTATTTTTGCAGTAGTGAAAGAAAATAAATGAGATGCTATACTTAAAAAGTGAATGTAAAATTACTTTATGCATTGATGACACTGTCTGGAAGGAAGCCCCTTTCTTGCGTTTCTTCTCTCCACTATGATCAACTGGAAATAAAAGAAAAAAGAGAATTAAATCTCATTACAGCACTAACAAATAACAGACATTTTACGTGATTTAGAAGTCTAGGAGTATTTTAGAAAGCCACTTTTGGGGAACAAACAGATTTATTTTCGTTCTGTGCCATTTTCAGTGTTAAAATGTTGGGCAAACCTTTGTGACTGCTCGTTCTTTTTAACTTTCTCTATTCAACTACAGTCAAATCTTGGGCCAGGGGCAACCATCCATTGATGACAACTATTGATAACAACATTGATGCCAACTATTAATCAGAACTGATCTTTCATGAAAGTTCTAGGTCCAAGAGTTTAGAGTTAGACACTGTGTGATTGGAATTATGCTGATCACATGGCCAACTGATATAATTGATGTCATTTCAGTTTTGAGAAATTCTGATGTTAAAATGTGTAATATGTGGATATTTGGCTTCTACAAATAACTATTAAACAATCAATCTCCATAACAAGAGATTTGTAATGTAAAAGAACGTTGTTTTTCACTTATCAAATATACAATATTTTAGAATTAAAGATTTTTTTATAACTAAAGACATATCCTTATTTAACTTATTTATGTGTGTCTGTGTATAAACTGTCTCAGCTTTGTTTTATTAGAACCATATAGCTAGTGTCCACTGAGAATGGAATTCCTATAATGCCCTTTTAAAATTTATAATATACACAACCATTATCAGCTGATGACCCATGTACAATAATTGTATGCAGTTCTAAAAAACAAAGCACAATTGGTTTTCACTTGATTGACTCACCCATAGACTACTATGTCTGAGTTGTGACACTAAGCTATGGTTAGTTTAATCATGATTGGCTATTGTTATCCATTATGCTCAGCCATAAACCATGGTTTACCAAACATACTCTTAGATTACTCGAAGGCAAAAATTAAACAGATGTAGTTGTGTATTCAAACATGTGTTTATGTATATGTATAAGTGTATGTATGTGTGTCTATGTATGCAATTTCTGTGTTACCAAATATAACTTTTTTTGTTCTTCCATACAAAAGACTGCATATATAACAGGGAGGTCTGCATCCAATTTGTTTGTAACAATGCATATCTACACCTACAGGACTTATACCTCTGAACTATAAAACATTCCTTTTGGATGGATTAGTTTGCATTCTTGAAATATGAATGTACATTTTGAAGAATGTTCATTCTTCAAACTATAGGGGTGTATATGTGGTCCTTGATGCTCTCTGAGCTTGGCTGTTTTCTTGCAGACATTTTATTACCCAAACTAATTAAAACCATCAGTGCTAGAGAGGAAACTCCTTATTTCAACCCTGAGCTACAAATATATTTCTTTATTGATCAAAACTATAGATTATCTTAGCTTCCTCATATGTGTATCTTATAGTACGGCTGATTTACAAATACCTGTGCTACTCAAAGATTATAAAACAGTATAATCTTTGAGTAGCACAAGTAGTATAAAGAAGTAAAGGGAACCATAGAAGCCATTGTGTTCAATCCCCTGCTCTACATCATAGCATCTACTAGAGCAGGGCTTTTCAACCGGTGGTATGGTACCTCATGTGGTACTTTGCCACATGGCAGGTGGTACGCAATTGCTAGCCAAGTGTAGCAGGGGAAGGGAATGAGCCCAAGTGAGCCAAGCCTGAGGGAGAGGCAGCTACAGCTGCAGGAGTGTCTGGGCTCAGCAGAAGCCCCAGGAGCTGGCAGGGCTCCAGCTGATTGGTGCTTCTAGAAGCAGCTGGAACTGGAGGTGAACTGAAGAAAAGGGGGGGGGGAGAGGCTATAAAAGAATGTGGTTTGGCTGGGGAAAGGGAAAAAAAGACAACAGGAAAGGTTTAACCCCTTTAAACAAATGTAGTTAGTTTTACCCAGTGCTTTTTTTGTAAAAAAAAAAAAAAAGGTGCTGGAACTCACACACGTCATACAACCCGCCTTACCTACCGTACAAAGTTCCACCCAAAAAAGGTGCTGGAACTCCGTTCTGGGCGTTCTATGACTAAAAAAGCCCTGGTTTTACCCCCTTTAATTGAGTCTGTCTGTGGCTTTTAGAAAGTTGTCTTTGAAGGTAAACAGGCTTAATTTAAAACTAAAGCTTTTCACAATTGTCAGAGCCTTTCAGTCTAGAATTGTAACGTTGTGACATGTGACATGCCTGAGGCAGCTTAAAGAGGAAAAAAACAGTTTGTTTTTCTTTATTTTCTTGCTTTGCACTTGATTGCTGTGTCTTTAAGGGTACAGGGAAGGAATTAGGGGGGTGCATTCTTACTATATTGTGGAAGAGCTCAGAAGGGCAAACCAGCTAGCTCAGGAGTCCACAAGTCTTAAAAATGCCAAGTTTGAACACCCCTAAACTAGCTGGTAGTGGTGCATATTAATAAACATGGATAAATTCATCATACATTTGTCTGTGCAAAGGGAAAGTGATTCAGCAAAGGAACAGTCACTGAATAAATTAAAACTCGTACTTTTTTTTTCTTTTTCTACAGTTTGTAATATTTTATTAGATTATAGAATAAAATACAAAAGCAAATAGTAGGACACAGTGGGGAGGAAAAAGGGGGGGAGTGAGGGGGAGAAGGGAAAAAGAACATACTTCCTCTGTTGCAGCAGAAGGAAGCATTAACATTGAACCTCAACTTTTTACTTTTCCATAATATTATAAACTAGCCATTTCTATAACAACAAATGAATCTAATCAGTAAAACTCAAAATCCCCCTCCCCCTTTTTTTAGTCATTTTTTGACACCTTGCTAAGCACTGGAGGTACTCAAATATTGTCATGTCCTAAAAGTGGTACAATCTGTGAAAAGATTGAAAAGCCCTGTACTAGAGCATCTCTGAGATCCAATCTTTGTTTCCGCACCAATCATGTGGAAGCCTACTCCATTAGCTGACAGTGCTCACATTGAGGAAATATCTCTGAAATTCCTTCCTTATAATTCCAACCCACTGCTTCTGCTCCTACCCTAATAGGCAATATTTAGTTATGAAACATATTTTTACAAGTAAAGCACCCTTTAATATCTGCTTTATAATTATTATTTAAGCAAAGCCAGCAAAAAGACTTAACGAGGTACCAACAATTTGAATTCGTGACTCTTACTCTGCTCCCCAGAGAGATATTTATATGCCTAACATTTGCCACTGCCAAATATTCCAAGGTTATAAGCTAATATGTTTATAAGCCACATTTTCTAGTATGTGATGTAAGAAATAAAATATAAGATTCTTCTACTTACCACTGTCAGCACTCACATAATTTTCAAATAGGCTGGCCAGAAGTTTGTTGGAAGATTTCTGAAAAATACCCACCACGGTTTCATTGAGTGGATCTTTGTTTTTCTCAAGCCAACCAATTATGTTATAGGGCACCTAAAAGAAGTACCAAAAAGAATTTTAAAGCCAGCAAGCTAGAAACTAAACTATCCAAACAATAATTGTCTTTTTACTTGACATCAATTCTATAGTCAGTTTTGACCTATGAAGTACAGGTAATCCTTGATTTACATCCACAGTGGATCCCAAAATTTCTATTGCTAAATGAGATATTTGTTAAGATAATTTTTGCCTCATTTTACAACCTTTCTCACCACAGTTGTTAAGTTAATCACTGCAATTAAGTTAGTAACATGATTGTCAAGTGAATTTAGCTTGTCTGATTTTGCTTGTTAGGAAGTCATGATCCTAGAACACTATAATTATTATAAATATGAGTCAGCTGCCCAGCCTTTGAATTTGAATCGCATGACCATGCAGATGCTGCAACAATCGTAAATATGAAAAATAGTCATAAGTCACTTTTTTCAGTGCCATTATAACTTTGAACGGTCACTAAACTAGCTGTTGTAAGCTGAGGACTACCTGTATATGGGAAAAGGTATTTTGTTTTTTGGTCTTTAAATGGTGACTAAAATATAATTGATCTTGGTAACATATCATACTTCCAGAATACTCATTTTCCCATTCTTCTGCCTGGCCTCCCAGCCTTTTATTTCCTTTAATTCATAATAACAAAGATGTTCTACACTACATTACACTTAATCCAGCATAATTTATATGATTTACTGTATTTAATTAACCAAATATTCACTTTCATCCTGGTCTTTTTTTCCCCCTCAGCTACACTAACTTTTTGATGAGTGAGCCCTTAACATTCAGGAAGTATCTTTGTAAACACTGCCTTCCAATGTGTGAGTTCTTGACCTACATTGGCAATCGCTTTCTTTCCAAATGAAAATGGAGAGACCAAAGTAATGCAGTGCTACATGCTTCACCTCATCCATAATCAAGCATTTTCTTGACTCTACATGGTAGAAGCATCTTATTGGAGGTGCTTCTAATAGGTAAAGCTAAGTAATGAACGACAGATTGAAAGCTGTTTTGTTCAATTTGGATCAATCTTCTTAAAAATGATTTTTTAAAAATATTTTTAAAGATGTACTAAAAAAATGGTCTGATGCATACAAGACATTAAACCATAAAGTGGCTGGCCTGGTTTTAGTTTAACATATTCATAAATCTGTATTTTTTGTGCACAGCTCTCTTCTTTCCAGTCCTTGGAGCCTTTTCTATACATGTTTGCTGAAAAATAAAAGCTCAGTGATGTCAGTTTGAGGTAAAAAAAAAAAAAACTTCAGCAACCAATTAGCATTGTAATTGTGCAATATGCTATTAAAAAAAAACAAAAATTGGCAATCTATGCCAAACCCTAGCCCTGTTCAAAAATTTTAAGTGTGCTTTGTTGGCCGAAGGTTGTATATTTCTGGCTTGCCTATCCAAGCATTTATTGTACATTATATTGCATGAATTTTATTAGTATAAAGGTGAGAAGAAGTAGGCATAAAGTGTACTAAAAGTGGTATTCTGATTTTTATTTGCTGAATTCTAAGATATACATTATTAGTGCAAAAAGTAGATTCAAAACATTTCCACTTCAAATCCCAGCCTTTTCCCAGTTTCTCTTTTTGCTAAAAATATTTTTTCACTCTTCCCATCTTCCAATTTCACTATGCTTCATTGTTCCATGGCATTTAATTCCCCACAGGATATAAGTCTACAAAAAGTGATATAATAGAAGAAAAACTTTATAAGATGTTTCCAACTGCAAATGGAAGGAAGGATAGAAGGAAGAAAGGAAGGAAGGAAGGAAGGAAGGAAGGAAGGAAGGAAGGAAGGAAGGAAGGAAGGAAGGAAGGAAGGAAGCTCTTACTGCTCCAGCATAATGCAGAAGTTCAAAATGTGCTTCGTATTTCCTCCTTTTGTCAGGCCTTGGTTTCTGCAGATTGGGTGATTTGCCAAGATGGTTGTCATAGAGTTTGGCTTTAAAGGTCATGTCTGTAGCCTTTGGAAACATGCATTCTTCTTCAAGGATAGAAAGGATGCCCAAGGGCTGTTAGCAAAAAAACCCAGAATAATAAACAAACAATGACAGACTTCCCAAATTGCATCCTTGTTGTACCACAATGCTAAAATACTAAGCCGTCACGATCAATGGGAATTACTTTAGGAATCTGTTCTTCCAACTATATACAGTATGTTGCCAGCAATGAATGCTACTGGTACAGAGTTGGGTTTTTTTTATCATAATCATTAATCTATTATTCTTTCCATCTGCTATAAAACTTGTTGACATAGCATGTGAAGATGTTAGATTTTATCCTAGTTGCTGACATAATATTGATGTTTTTGCTTTCAAAATACTTTGATGGGCTGACATATTTTTCTCAAGGAAAGAGATAGAAACTAAAGCATTTAATACTCAGATCTATATGCTTTGTGACCCATAAAACTACATGTTGTTAGTAATGGTCTGTCAAGAAACTGATCCTTCTTTTTAATTCCTTTAATCCTACATAGAAAAATCAGAACTTGATGGCCATGCTGTAAACACATTTAAGTACATTTAACTTGCCAACCCAAAGGTTATGCAGGCTTCTTATGACTATTGGAAAAAAATGACAAATGTATAGCACTAGTTCAACCTTTTAAATTAATTTACAGTCAGGGACTTAGATGAATTTATTAGTACCTTTTCAATTAGATCAATGCAAGCCTGTAGATCCAATCCAAAGTCAATGAACTCCCATTCAATGCCCTCCTTTTTGTATTCTTCTTGCTCCAAGACAAACATGTGATGATTGAAAAACTGTTGCAATTTTTCATTTGTGAAATTAATGCAAAGTTGTTCAAAACTATTATACTTCAGGCAGAGAGAGAGAGAAAAAACAATGTTTATAGAATCAAACAGAGTAACTAAGACAAAATTTCTATATGGCTTGATAAAACTTGAATTTCTTTAAATATAAGATCTGTTTTAGTGTGCATAAACATTGTAGCCATTTTTAAAAAACAGTCATTGATTTAATTAACAAAATCTTCTAGGCTAATTATTCAGGCATGTTTCACAAAGATATGAAGTCATCATTGTCCCGCTGATATTAATTTTACATTAGATCAGTGATCCCAGGAAGCAATCAAGATTTTAATATTAGTTGCATTTCTAATTTTCCAAGGTGCTAGCCAAGCTTCACCAATCTGATGTTTTCTAGTAACATTGGCCTTTAGACATAACACTAAAGTCATCATACTGGATATTATGACTGTTTAAGTCTAAAACCCCTAGAAGGCATGTAGTGAAACAGGTTGATGAAGGTTGCTGAAAACTATTTTAACGAAGAAATCTTCTGATTAGTTATTGCCTAAGAAGTGGGTGGACTAGAGCAGGACTTTTCAACCAGTGATACGCGTACCATTTGTGGTACATTAACAAATGGCAGGTGATACACAGCCCTGCCTAGCCAAGTGTAGTGGGGGAGGGAAAGAGCCAGTGCAGGCAAGGACTTACTGTGAGAGAGTCCTCTGGAGCTGCAGAGTGGCTAGGGCGAGGCAAAGGTCCCAGGCTCACTTCTGGCTCACCCTTCCCCATGAGAAAGGAGGAGGAGGGGGGCAGAGATAGGAGAGGCTATAAAAGGAGGCAGTTTGGGAGGGAGAGGGAGAGAACAAAAAGCAGCAGCCTTGGGAGGATGGGATCAGCTCTACCTGCACCAAAGGAAAAGAAGAAGAAGAAGAAGAAGGAGGAGGGGGGGTGGGGGGAGAGGAGAGATCAAGCAGGCCGGCCATGAGCTGATCTACAAGAAATGCAGTGGAGGAGGGGTCACCCTCCAAATGGAATGAAAAAAGGCAGCAATGCCTGGAGGTGAGGCACAGAGGAGGGAGGGAAATGGAGAGTGGAAAGATTCTTATATGCTTTTGTGACTTTGAAGTTCTAGGATTTGTGCAATGTGGGCTTTGTGTTCTTAAGGAGTGTTTGGCAATTTCTATTTGGCTGATGGCTGATGTCTCGTATTAACTTCTATTGCTCTGCTATTGTTAGCTGTAAGTTTTGCTGCAAGGGATTTTGAAGTATTTTTCTCCTGAATGGATTTTGCCTGTAGCATTCCTTTACTTATGAATGGAGCCATTTGGGGAGGCTGCCTTAGCTGGCAACCAATACTTACTACATTTTTTTTCTTCCTTAAGTGCCGGCTGTGCTCAACTTTCCTTTCTAGCCAGTAGCTAATTCTTAAAGGGGAATGTGCCTTTTTAAGGTAGTTCACTCAGCAGTTTGTCTTTTCTGTCTCTGGAAGCTTTTCTTTGTTTGCTGAATATGTGGAAGAGAGAAAATATGGGGGGGGGGGTGTTTCAAATTCTTCCTTCAGAAGGAGGTGAGCATGAGAAAGAGGGAGGCAGGGAAGGAGGGAGGAAGGGAAGTCCCGCCTTAGCACTTGGCCACCAGCAGCTCTGCCATTGACTTTGCTTGTCAAAAGAATGCAAAAGGGGATCACATGACCCTGGGACACTGTGACCATCATAAATATGAATCCGTTGCCAAGCATCCTAATATAAATCACATGACCCTGGGCATGCTGCAATAAGTGTGAAAAATGGCCATAAGTCTTTTCAGTGCAATTGCAACTTTGAACAGGTTTTGGAGGGGGGTTTTTTTGGTCATCAAGTTTTTGACACCTTGCTAGGTAGTACTCAAATATTGCCATACCCTAAAAGTGGTACAATCGGTGAAAAGGTTGAAAAGCCGTGGACTAGAGGACAATAATAATTCTTTTAATAAAATTTTCCAAAGAAAATGCTCAATTAAAGTCTAATAACTTAAATCAACTTGCTCTTTTGTGGACATTTTTCATTTCAATTACTCACATCAAAGATCTCAAAACCAGCAATGTCTAATACTCCAATGAAGAACTGTCTTGGTAATTTAGTGTCCAAAGTCTTATTTATGCGAATAACAAGCCATTTGAACATTCGATCGTATACTGCCTTAGATAAAGCTCCAACAGCATAGGTAACCTAAGGAAACATGAGAAACAATGGCTGGGTATATAATGAAGAATGTAATGAAATTTATCATCTGTTAGAAATATTAATTAAAACTCATTGCTTCCATTTCTGCTGTGGAATAGCTTTGATTCAGTGAATACACTAATAACTTAGGAGGAAAAGCCATAACAGACCCATTCTGAGAACTATACAATATTTGCTAGTCTCCCACTTTTTCTATTGCTGAATAAAATGGATAAAATGTCAATAATTGAACTGTGCAGCATGACATCAATATATATTGAATATTGGCTTGGTTTACTAGGACTGAATGCTTTGAAATGATTCTAGAGTGCTTTATACATCTTTGCTATTCCTTAGAGCAACCTGTATTTTATGAGCCTGAAAAACGATGCTTCTATTTGGATGCATTTAAGAATCACATTCACATTAAATGAATAAATACCTTAAAACAGCTACATATATTTTTTTTCAGACTCGCTATGAAAAAAGAATGTGTGAAATGCCACAAAGTAATTTTGCTTTCCTGTTCCCAAACTATATACTTCTTTGCTGAATTGAAATTTGCATTAAAATGTGCTGCATAGTTTATTGTTCTTTAGAGTTGGGTAGGCTTGAGTGTTGTACAGTATTCAAGTTCAGAATCATAGGAATTTACAGTCTTATTTCTACCACACACTATTTGCTGTGTGGTTATAAGCAGCAGATTTGTAAATTTCTACAGAAGTACTCTTAGATGGTGGAACCAAAGTGTCCCTCAAAGATTTATTTTTATCATTGTGGCTAGGTTTATATTAAGGGACTGCAGTTATGGAGAAAAACATTGTTTTGCCTAAAGTTTTATTGTAATTTGATAAATTTCATATGAACTTTGTTGAAACCTGGAACCGTATAATACATCCTGTCCATTTGGCTTGGTCTGGTGATCATTAACTACTATGATGTTCAGGTGCTGACTGGACCTTTCAAAAGTCATAGTCATGGAATGTGAAAAAATACTGGACAATTGTAGCAATAGGAATAAAAATATAAATACAGTATTTGTAATAATACTTCTGTTTACAGAAGAATCAACTGGATGTGAAAGAGGCATTTTGATAGATTATGTGGTTTTAAGGATTTCTCACCTGTTCTACATTTTGGCCTTTAGTGACATACTCATTTCCAACTTTCACTCTTGGATGCACCAAACCCTTAAGCATATCAGAAGAGTTAACTCCCATTAGATAAGCAGCCTTATCAGCACCTGAAAGAAACAGCATTTCAATCAGTAAAACAGGAAGAGGATGGGTGCTTTTTTGATTTCTAGAACATATTCTAGGACAGAACTCCAAAGCAGAAGAATAACATGAAATGTATGATACCAGCAGAAATTTAACCATAATACAACTACTAGCTCTGCTGATAATCATTGTGAGCTAAAAGTACATTTAATGTAAAACATGTAATAGAATAAAATACCTCCATAATATATTTTTACTAAAGGTAGTTTAGATTTATTGTCCATCCAATACTAATACTTGGAAGTCTAGCTATTGTTATGTGTTGACATTTATTTAGCTCAAGAAAAAAATCTTGGTACTTAGCAGAACACATACTTGTCAGCATTATAGCTCAGACAATGTATAGTCTCAGTCACATAGAAATGATCATGCTGAGACCAAGAAGACAGTTCTTGCAAAAAAAAAAAAAAAATTCTTGCAAAAAAAATATTAACTGGTGGCAGAGTAGCCGAAATTCTAGCTGTCTAGAAAAAGGTTGTAGCTTTATAATTATGATTACTTCAAAATATGGTGCATTTCTACCTAGATGACACTCAAGGTGTATAACAATAAAACAGAAGAAAATGAAAAATTAATAAGCAGTTTGTATACAGTGGCACAGAAATATATTTATTTTAATTACTGAAATAACATTTGCAAGTGTCAGGTAATCAAAAAATGAGACATTGAACAAGATATAATTAAAAAAATACAAATGTAAACCATAGTTACATGAACAGAAATAATAATAATAATCATCTAATGCAAAGCAATGTTATAACTGTTTATTCTTATTCTAATTGAGACATTAGTGGAAATTTGAAGGGAAAAAATTGTTCAGGTTCCAACTTCTGAACTCCTGCATAAAACTGAGTTTAAAGGTGCCTACATTTATGTGAACTGACATCCATCTTTGTGATAATGGTTAAACTTTCTTAGAAGTTCTCACTCTGATTTATACTGAACAGAGCCAATGTAGTGGGGGTCTTGGACTGGACATCTTAAGACATAGAGGACTTTGGGACAGTATATATTTTTCTCCTTTTTTAGTACAATCTTGATAAATAAATCTGCAAAACTTTTTTTTTAGATTGATTCCACTACAGGCTTTTAATTTTTTATTTTATCTGAAAGGGCACAAATGCAATTGTTTTCTCAGAGAACAATCATGATTTATTAGCCCAATCTACTTTACATATTATTGTTATAAAAAAAATTGAAGAAGAGAGTTTTATGTAGTCCATAAAACTGGGCTGGAATATGGTAGAGGAATGCAGAAGTAGCCTTATCAAAGATATGCAAGAACTGTAAGAAGAGCTGCTAAAGGAAAGTAAATGAAATTCAGTTCTGAAAAAGAAGGCAGCATGGAAAAAATATTCAAAATAGCCAGCCATTATTTTTTTAGGGGCAGAAAGTTCAGTTACCATACCCTACAACAGTGGTGTCAAACTTGCCATGTCACGTGACGTGTTGTGACGTATCGTGACTTTTTTCCCCTTGCTAGAGCTGGGGTGGGCGTGGCTTCCACGTGTCACATCCAGCCCGCAAACCGGCAGTTTGACACCCCTGCCCTACAACAATAAAATATGTTTCTTCAATCTGTGTGGTGATTGCTAGCTCACTTGGCCTGCTTTGAAGAGTTAACACATATTTACATTATTTATTAAATACTGTATATAGCATTTACATTTATATTTACTGTATATTTACATTTAGAAAATGTCCACTTTTGTATGTATTTATGAACAGAAATATAGGTCAGTTATGTAATAGCATCTACCCAGCATTTTTTTAATCTTAACAGTCAAATACAACTGGATTTGGTTAGTACTGGCATGGGATACTACCAGAGAACTTCAAGGCTGTAGGTGGGACTAAGAAATAATAATAATTAAAATGGCAAATTCAGCTTTCTTGAACATCTTACAATCTACAATATCTTTAACACCATCAACAACCTCTACCTATCCCAAGTCCTTCAGAAGGATTCAATAGGGAAAAAAATGCCAAATCGAATCTAAACTGCAATCAGCCATAATAATAATAAGCTGGCAGGCAAGAACTGGTGGAACCACAAAATAAAGTAATAGAAAATTAAGAAGCTAAAATTCTCTGGGACATTAGAATTCAGGCAGACAAGCACCTGTTACATAATACCCCAGATTTAAAAATTGCTAATAAGAAAGAAAAAAAAAATCTGGATAGAAGACATTGTAATATCTGGAAACAGAAAAAGAGAACAATCACAAAATAAAACAATAAAATATAAAGGCCTGCATATAAAAGAGAATATTGCAAAAGAAAGCAAAGATAGGGTTCAAACAGTTCAAAGGTAAGGTTTAAAGAATGAGGCATTACAAAATTGGCTAGGAAACTGTCATGGAATGTTACCAATGAAGACTATGTGACTGCAGCTGCAGTACCACAGCAACCAGTAGCACTGAAGCTCCAAACATGTGGATTCTTGAAAATCATGGGCCCCAGATTTTGGATACATTCTGTAAGTTAGCCTGTTTGAGGTATCTTGGTTCAAAAATTGTTGCCCTAAGATGTACCATTTTGCCTATTAAAGGTCACGACAATGAGAGTTTTAGTTATATATAGACAGATTTCCCTAAAGTCACAAGGAGTCCATTTCAGTTCAAAGAGAAAAATAAAGTGAGAGAAATATTTTTTAAAAGGTGTTGATTCTTAATTAGACACCGACAGCTGCTCTATTTGCACCCCCTCAGTAGCTTTTCAAAATTTAATCTAAAGAATCACACAGCCCTAATTTAATTACCTGCCTTCTGTTACATTAAAGTTGACATAGAAGAAGGCATGTTAACAATTACACATGAAACTTTGGGGGACCATATGCGTCTTGAAACCTTTCACCATAGTTAATTAATTAGTGTGATCTGATCACCTGCATGCATAGATATTCTTTCATGACACAGAAACTGATTGCTCAGAAAGAATTCAATGTGTATTCTATTGAATACAAGGTGATTTTGCAGGTATTACTCTGGAAGTGTAGAGAATGGGCACATAAGATCATAATTTAGGCAATTGTCTGGAAGACATTATCATGTAAAAAATAGCTACTAATTCTGAAGCGATTACAGAACAAACTACGTATCCAGTATGAAGAATGTATTGTCTTCATAGATTCTGTATATTTTACATGGGTAATTATGTCTTGTAAATAGTGAATGCAAGCAAAACAGTAAGGTTTCAGCTTCAATATATGGCACAAGAAAGTCATCCAACGGCTTCCTAGCAGATCCGCCTTGCCCAGAAGATCGTATTGTATAGTAATGTTGAGGTCCTCATTGCAAAATGATGGGTAAGGTAACACTCAGAAAAAAATACTTACTACTTTTAACTCTAATTAAGGAATGATGGGAATCATAGAATCTTTTGAATTGGGAATGGTGAGGAGTTAACCTCTCCATTCCATTAAGTGCTCAGCAAATGGTGAAAAATTATTCTGGTCTCTTTTTATGCAATTAATGTCTTTCAGTCTTTGAAAGCTATACTGTTTTCTTTCCCCTACATCAATCCACTCCCATAAACCATATGCTCAGATTGTGCCCAACTGCAGCATACTGATCTATAGATAAGATTCCCACAAAGAAGTTTGATTTCTATGTGGAAATAACATTAGAGGAAAAACAATGCTAATATTTACAAAACAAGAAAAGGAACGCAGTTGGTAAACAAAAAAGAAAATGCTTACTCTCTGTGCCATCAGCTTCTGCTTGCTCTTCCCTGGGTCTTTGTTTAAATTTCATGTCTCCAAAGTGCATAATTGCACCAGTGAGTTTGTAGGCACCATATTTTTCATCAGCAACAAAACCCAAAATATCCATGGCTTGCTGTTAAAAAATTTAAAAAGAAAGAAAAAGATACTTTGTTATTTGCCTCCTCAGCTACATGCTGCTCTGTTTTGCAGAGCTGCTTTGTAGCAGTGCTGGTGTTACTGTGCTTCTTCTAGTAGTGAAAACTCAAGCTGAAACTGTTGGAAAAGTCTTATTCATGTTCTATTTCCTGATGCTGATGGAACAATTAGACACATTAGCAGCACATTATGAGACTTGGAAAATATATTTAAAAGAAGCACGTCATTTAACAAACTGTTTTGGAAAATACAATTAGGTAAATCCTAGGGGCAGCAGAGTGCTCCAACTGGGAAATAGACTCCCTGAATACATGTTGGATATATTTATTCAAAGATGTTATTACTGTTGATAACCTTAAGTAGCTTTAAAATGAGGTTGGAAAAAATGTAAGTAGGACAGGTTTATCAAAGGCTGTCTTGTAGTTTCAGTATTAACTTCACACTGCTGAGGGCAGCATGCCTCCAAATATCCATTTCAAGGAAATAACGGGAAACTGCTATGTTGCCATCTCTGGTTTGCAAACACACTGGTTGGCTTTGGTTAAGCACTATTAGAATCAAAATTCTGAACTTTGAAGGCTGTTGACCTGATCTAGCAGAGCTACATTCTTACCTCAACTTACGAAAGTCATTAGATAGCATGGGTTTATTGGTACAGTCCTGTTCTGAAATAATATACAGGAAGGCTAAGGATGACTCACTCTTAAGACCATTCTGCATACTGAAAACTATCCTCTTTTGATGTACTGATCCTGTATTCACTGCATATTTATGCTCAGCAATTCTGTTGAGTGAGACAATTTATATGGATTGGTTTGAACTGACTCAAATAAGAAAATTGCTATTGTTCTCACTGAACAGCTTATGCCCTTTTGTACTTTAATAAAAAAACAAGTCTTACATCAGTTGCAATCAGCTCTTCCCCATCATCTAAATTATCCACAGTAACAACACCTTGTGAACAGATGTGATAGTCATATGGGTTTGTTGAGACCAATAACATATCTGCAAATGAGGAAAAAATAAAACAGTTTATTCTCTCAAGGTCTGGGCTCCTGTTAAGTCAAAATATAGTCCAGCACACGTGTAATTCATACATCAAAGTTGCTGGGAAATTAGATCTACACAAATGTGTGCAGTTTCTATTTTTAAATTATATCACTATGCAACCCTGCATATATTTACACTGAAATAAGTTCCACCAATTCAATGGGATTTATAGAACAGAACAATGCAGTTCAACAATATTAGTGCCAAACAATATATATTGTTGAAAAATATATAAACCCACACTTAATCTCTATAAAATGGCTTATTCCACTTCTTTGCTTGTATTAACCTAGTTCCTATAAAGAACTTTCATTGACATTCCTAGCCCTTCAGAAAGAAATCAACCTAACATAATAGTGATAGTGATAACATGAACACATTTTCAACAGCAATAAAAAGATCTTGAATTCCAAACCATTCTGAAACTATAAATTAGCTTTATTTTATTTTTTATTTTATTTGCCTGGATAATCAAGTCTCTCTGAATAGTTCCATCTAATGACGCATTCTTATACTTATGCAATTAACTCCACAAGATCAGTAGACTCATATCCTACACCCTGCTTAGCTTTTCAGTCAAATTGCATAGGCAGATGTGCTTGCTGATCCTTCTTCTGCTACAAATAATAAAGGGCAAAGACATTTACACGGCTTCTCATATTTCAAAAGTCCAACAAAATTGTGTTTAGTTGATTCTAATATCTTGATGTCATGGAGAGAAGCAATGTAATTTCAAATGTCCAAATCAGGGCAAGAAATATATCCCCGTCTCCCCCCCCCAATAATAATAGTAATTAGGACAAAAGGATTATTTCAAAATTTTATTAAGATATCAGAGAATGTGGTCAACAACTAGAATCTCTTACAAAATTATTACTTCTAGTAAATTTTCTGCCATTCTACATATACAGCTGTGCAGACTGTAAATAATTGATTGTAACAGCAAAACTGCCGGCCTTTAAGAAAGCCGTTAAAACTCTCCTGTTCTGGCAGGCCTGGGGCTGATGTCCCTGGGGGGGGGGCAGGATATGATCGGACATGCGGCATGATTGTATTATTTTATTGTATTATTGTTAGATGATTGTTTTAATTTTGTACACTGCCCTGAGTCCTTTGGGATTGGGCGGCATATAAATAAAATTAAATAAATAAATAAATAAATAAAAACTATTGTATGGACCACAGTTTATCCATGCAACAATCCATGCAGGCCAGCAAGTAAAGCATAAGAATAAATTAACCATGAAAGGTACATTTTCACTGTGGAATATTTCCATCCAAATCCTGTTAGCTGAAAATCACTTTGAAACAGTTCCTCTAATCTACCTTAATTAGGCCATAGCAAAGGCTAACTGGTTAAGGAATTAGCAGATGGTCCACTCAGCCTGGATGACAAGAACAAAAAATGAGATTATTACTGCTTTTGCCAAGCAGAAATTTAGGACATGTATAAAGGGAAGCTTTGCCCATATTACAGGAAGCATCCATATAAACGCACAATCCCTATGCATAAATAGGGTGTAAAGCTACATGATAAACAGGACCAGCTACTGAAATTCAAAAATGGTCATGTGTAATAACAGATGTAGTCATATAAAAATATAGATGTAAGTAAAAAATGGATGGAAAGGAACCTCCTCTTTCAAATTATGTAAAGTATTATCAGTAGCTCGGCTTTCTGTTCATCCAGAATTATATCCAGAATCCCAATACAAGACATCAACTGAGGTACATAAGTTAAAATCCATATAGACAGTACTGTCTACCTTGACCAATAGTGGAATTCTAGCATTTCACTGCTATATATGTATCAATGTGTATGCAATCTTCTACCTTAAACACAAATTATTCATAGAAACTTCATTCTTTTCTTCTATACACATGCAGCATTATCTAACAGAAGTTCCATATGTGCTAAAGTGCTGGATAAGGAAAGAATTTGCAGACTAAGAATCTGTGATTAATATGGCCAATAATGATATCATTTTAACTACTAAAAGTTTTCCAGATTGCTTACTTTTTTTGCAGTGTTATTATTTTATTGAAATGTTTGTTATTTCACATTACCATTTTTCTTTCTCAATTCTTCTATCCACCCATCTATCCAGAATATATATATCCACATAAAGCATGGTCTTCCTTTTTATTACCTTGTAGCTCTGCTTTCTTTCCTGACAAGATTTGATAGAAGATATGATAGTCTCTTTCACCTGGTTGTTGAAAAATAACTCGGGATTTCTCTAAAAGATCTAGTGGAGAGTGAAGAATTAAACTGAAAAATAGGTTGAAAGTTGTATATGAAATATAAAGTCTATAGTTACAACAAACAGTATGCTACTTACAGATTTCAATATCAGCAGATGATAGCTTGCCTGTAGTCCCAAAATGGATCCTGATAAATTTACCCTATTATACAAAATTTAAAAACATGTGAAAATGACAATATATAGAGCTAATATATCCACTTTATTACTATAAGCTTGCTTTGATAATTGCATTGTTTGGATGTTTTGATAAATCTGTGGCTGATTCATACATTATGCGATAACATGGTTTATTTAAATCATTGCTTATTGCATAAATGCAATGGTTTATTTAGAGTAAGCAATAAGATACAATTTATATTCAATAGTGTCTTGGTTTACACATACTGTTACGTTTCATTAATCTAGTTTAATGGTGGATGATTCAGACAAATGAAACAAATTGTTTCCCCAATACATAATTAAAAAAACATGACTCCTTGGAAGGATGAATCTTCTTTAAAGTCATGGTGATGATGGCTAGAAAAGAGTTTGCCATGTATGTTCCCAAGCTTTACTCAGAGATCTTGATAAACTCACCTCCACTACTTCTGATACATCACAATCAAGAATTCTGACTTTGACACAGAAACACACAGCTTCTAAATCCACAGATGTTATTTCCAATGCCAGATTGCTTGAAGACCACCTTAAAAGTAGTGATCTATTCAAGAATAGGCAATTGCTTCTGAATAATAACATTACCACAATCAGCTCTAATCAGCACTATTGAATTCTTTTATCACTGCCAGGACTATGACTGTATTACTAGTAGGTCTCTGTGAAATGGTCTAGCTTTGTTTTGACAAGACATTTGTTTGATGATTCTTTTCAGTGAGCTACTTTTGATCACCTTGAGTTGTGAAGCATGAAACCAGATTATAAAATCAAATTGTCAATAATTATGGAAAAAAGCAAGAACCATACTGTACTTATATTAACCTAAAATTATTATTCTTATTAATTGTATTTTAGCATTTGCTGATCATGATGACTATAATCTCTAATATCAGAAGCAATATGGTACTGAATATCTCCTGCTGAGAAACATTAGCAGGATGCTCAATATTACCTTATCCTGTTATGTTTTCCCACAGTCATTTAAGATGATTGAGCAGGTTTCCCTATTTGACTTTAGATAAAACAAATGCATTTTTCTCTAGCAGTCACTGTAAAATAGTCTGAATCATATCCCTGATTATTTTAATTTTTGCCGAGATTTTGTGGACAATGTTCCAATGACTGTGCAACATCAACAGAAAATAGCCAAAATATGATTCCATGTCCTGAACTATTGTTAGATATAGAAAAACATCACATACAAAAAAGAAAGGTACATTGCTGCAGGAATTAGCTAGATTAGTGATTTTAAAAAATCCAGAAAAATAGAGCAGCTAGAATATATTTGACATGTTGTCAAGAGAACTAGGTAAGCATAGAGGTTACTGGGAGAAGCTCAACTCTAGAAAAAAATTACATTTTTTTCCAAAACAAAACTGTGACAATAACCAAGTCTATAGCCATTCCCCAAAGTGCTGTGAAGCACTGGTTTGGAACTATTCTAAGTCAAAAGGCTTTCTAAAACATTCTGACAGATGAATAATCTACCACTGGTATACATGGAGTCTGCTTGTTTAGGACTGCTTAAGAAAAGGTGATATTCAGTTATCTGTGAAAAGATATATGCATTTTATTCTTCCTCCTCCTTCTGGAAAGACACACATTTTATGCAAGTATATACAGAGACTTAAAATACATTATCAGTTTACAACAGCATAGATAGTTTTCAAATTGTCTGGAACTTCGGTCTTTTTTTTTTAATGTGTGAATTTGGAGTCTACTGTGGTTTCTGCAGCTTTGCAGCCATAATTAGAACAAATACTTCCTTTGGTTTTATTGTGACCAGCTTGTTTTTGCTGCCTCCCTTACAGAATATTACACAGGACTCATTATGTTTCACATATACAAAACTGTGCTGTACTTGTTTTATCAGTAAAAAGCCCTGTATTTATTTATTTATTTATAAACTTTAGATGGTCTTTCTGCTTTTTCAACCCATAATACTGTATGAATATTGCACTGAACATATTCTGGGAAGCAAGTTATATCCCACTGCTACTGCTAATTGATCTAGAACAATTACCTGCATACCTATTTTTCACATACTGTACTTCTATCTAATTTAGAATGGCTACCAAACATGGACTACAAAGATTCAAATGACAATAAAGCTTTTGCAATCCAAATCTGATGACCTTATAATTCATAGCTTTTCCTGTGTTATAAGAGCACCAAAATTCATATAACTCACTATAAACAGGAAGATACTTGCAAAGCATGAGGGAGTTCCTTCTCGTTTCCAGTGAATAATAATGATTTCAGTGGGAAATAATCCAAAGGGTGAAAAATGGGATGCATTTAATAAACATCAAAACTAATTAAAGCTTTGGACCATTACTTGATATAAGAAGTGTATTCTTTGGGGAATGAACAATGTTAGAGGAAGGCAGTGAAATATAGATACAGTAGTATCCCTCTCTATCCACAAGTTCATTAAACTATCTTGTATTTTTCAGTTTAGTCAAGGATAACCAATTCTAAAATTGTTGTCCGAACACAAATGGAAGGTATCAGTTTGAAGAAGTTTCCTTTGGACTACCGTCACACTTCCTAGATAAGTACAAAATGTAAGCATGTATATTTAGGAATTTTGCAAAAACCTAAGTAAACACTTCATGCCAGGAATGTGTAAATGGTCTAATATATTTAATTCCAAGAGGGCAGATGGGCAGATATTTCCCTATTACACCTTTATTAATGATAAACAGATGATTAGGGAATTGGTTACTGGAGTTGAGTATGTCTAGTTTAATGAAGAGAAGGACAAGGGGTGACATGATAGCAGTGTTCCAATATCTAAGGGGCTGCCACAAAGAAGAGGGAGTCAATCTATTCTCCAAAGCACCTGAAGGCAGGACAAGAAGCAATGGATAGGAACTAACCAAAGAGAGAAGCAACCTACAACTACGGAGAAATTTCCCAAATTAGATTAATCAGTGGAACAACTTGCCTCCAGAAATTGTGGATGCTCCAGCACTGGAAGTTTTTAAGAAGTAACTGGACAACATTTGTCTGAAAAGGTACAGGGTTTCCTGTCGGAGCAGGGGGTTGGACTAGAAGACCTCTAAGTTCCCTTCCAACTCTGTTATTCTGTTCTGTTCTTTTCTTATGTGACAGTATTTTATAACTATACAGGCAATAGTGAGGTAGTTAAGGATGTAGATAGCATCACATTCAATGGTGTCTACCATAACTTCTAGCAAATTTACATCTGAGGAGAAAAATCAATTGGACAGAGTTTGCTGAGCCCATAAAGCATAGAATTTGTGGGAGGACCAACTCCATAAACTTAGACTCTGTAGTTCTAGGGTATGTTTCTGATTAAACGGTATATTCTCTAAGCCAGTGCTTTTCAACCTTTTCAAAGATTATACCACTTTTAGGATATGGGAATATTTGAGTACCACCAGCAAGGTGTCAAAAACTTGATGACCAAAAACAAATGAAAAAAGTGATCAAGTGCAGGTAGTCCTTGACTTACAACAGTTTACTAAGTGACTGTTTGAAGTTAAAACAGCACTGAAAAAAGTGACTTATGACTATTTTTCACACTTATGACTGTTATAGCATCCTCAGGGTCACATGATTTATATTCGGATGCTTGGCAGCTGATTCATATTTATGATGGTCACAGTGTCCCAGGGTCATGTGATCCCCTTTTGCAACCTTCTGACAAGCAAAGTCAATGGGGAAATCCGATGCACTTAAGAACTGTGTTACTAATTTAACAACTGCAGTGATTCACTTAACAAATGTGGCAAGAAAAGTCATAAAATGGGACAAAACTGATTTAACAAACTTCTCACTTAACAACATAAATGTTGGGCTCAATTGTGGTTGTAGGTTAAGGATTATTTGTACACCCACTTTCCACACTTTTAATGGAAACTTGTGCTTTTTTCTCTGACATTAATCTGTGCACTGTTCTATCCCCTTCTCTCCTTCTGGTTAACTCAAAGAATCCTCTCCTCTTCTCTGTTTCTCTTTCTCCGTCCTTTTCTCTTTCCCAGTCATCTGTTTTTTCTCTCCCTTTTCCTTTCTATCCTCTCCTCTCTTCCCTCCACCTCATTTTCTTTTCATTGTAGCTGCAGCTGATTCCTTTTCCTAAGGCTGTATGTTTCTCCATCTCTCTTACTCCATCCCCTTCTCTTTCTCTTCTCTTTGTCTTTTCTCTCCATATCCCCCCAAAACCTATATCCTCTCCTCTCCCCCTCCTTCTTTTCTCTTTGGTGTAGCTGCAGCTGACTCCTTTTCCCAAGGCTGTGCGTTTCTCTGTATCTTACTCCATCCCCTTCTCTTTCCACATTATGTTTTTTCTCTACCTTTCCCTCCAAAACCTCCTTTGATATCCTCTCCTCTCCCCCCCTCTTTCTCTTTGGTGTAGCTGCAGCTGCCTACTTTCCCCAAGGCTGTGCTTCTGGAAGCACTAATCAGCTGGAGCCCCACACAGTTCCTGGGTGTTCAGCAGAGCCCCAACAACACCTCAGCTCCAGCTAACTCTCCTATGGCCTGTGTGGTGTTGCCGCTACTTCAGATCATCCCCCCGCTACACTTTTACACTTTTTTTACAGTGCTTTTGAACCCATCATACACATACCACCTTCCAGGTGCCGAATACCATCAATGATGTGTATACCACAGGTTGAAAAGCACTGACAGCATTGGCAGTAGTAAGATGAAAGACCTAGCACAGAAATAGAAGAATATTGACAAAGGAAATGATTCCCTCTGAGGGAAACAGAAACTTTTAATACTGTATCCTGATTTAGGATAATTATCACTGGCTGGATTTGAGTGGTGCAGTGATCTAGAAGTGAAGACGCTCACCTCACACTCAGGAGGTTGAGAGTTCAATCCTAGATAGTGACAGATATTTCTCTATAAGGTCGCAAAAACAAAATATCTGCTGTGAACTCTATGTAGGTGTCAGGGAGGGGATCCGGCCAGTAAATGCTCAGTTTCATTCAGTTGCTTCAACTCCACCCTGATAAAAGGGATTACAGAATCATAAAAGGAAGAAAAAAATCACTGGCTGGAATTGATGGGCTGGAAAATGTCTTGTATAAAATTTTTGACCTGAATTCGCTCTGGGTCACTTCTAATAGCATCTTTTTCTGCCATTTTTATTTTATTTTTATTCATGAAACCTGAATAAATCAACTGTTTGCTTATGCTTTAGCTTGCCAAGTTGTTGCTAAAATCCCAAGATGGTACAATTTCTATGCCAAAATGTTCCAATAAGTAACAGCAGAACAGCTGTTGACATTACTTGTAAAAAACCATCCAATAACTTAATCAAGGAATGCAGTACTATTAGAAAACAGATTTTAATGTAATTCAATTTCTGCTTCTGTTTTATGAGCATAATAATGCAAGATGGTAAGGTTCCAGAGCTAGAAATCCTACTTACAAAACGTGAAGAGTTGTCATTTCTCAGAGTTTTGGCATTCCCAAAAGCTTCCAAAGCTGGATTGGCTTGGATGATTTGATCTTCCAGGTTTCCCTTACAATGCAAAAATTTTAAGTACCTTTAGAATGTAACCATATACCATATACCCAATTTCTGGCTTAACCTAGATATAACAGAAAAATGCAACACTATGCAAAGAATATGCTGTCAAAAAACTTCAGATATTCGGACAGAACAATTAAATCAGGGTTATGGGCAATTCAAATGCTTTTATTCTGGAAGCTCAAGGAAATTGACTTCTATGATCTTTCTCCCATTTCATATCCATAACCTGTTTAGGTAGAAAGAAAATGACTGGCCCAAGGTCAGCCAGTGAATTTTATGATGCAGAAGTTGAATCTCTGGATTTGGTCAGATGGCCTACATTACATTAGCTTAGCCTTACAAAACAATTTCATCTTTCTGTGCAACCAAGATTTTCTATTTATTTATTTATTTTTATTTATTAAATTTATTTATTTATTTATTTACTTAATTTGTTTTTATTTATTACATTTATTTATTTACTTAATTTTTTATTTATTTATTAAATTTATTTATTTACATAATTTGTTTTTTTATTTATCAAATTTATTTGCAGCCCATCTCATTTCAAATGACTCTGGGTGACATACAGCAATACATTGCCTTTTGTTAAACATTACAAAAATATTAAAATATTTTAGTATAAAATGACAAGCAGACAAAATAAAATCATTAACACAAGATGGAGGAGGAAGGAGCCAGATACACAAATGGGGGGGGGGGAATGTGGGATTAGCTTTTAATTGGTCAACCATCTCCAGTGTGAAGCTCCCGCATTAGTACCCTAAGTCATCTGGCAGAACCAGGTTTAAGGCTCTTATGAAAAGTCAGGAGGCTGGGAGCCAATCTCACTTCAGGAGGCAAGACATTCCAAAGGGCAGCAGCCACAACGGAGAAGGTTTTTCTCCTGGTCTCCGCCAGCCAAAATTCCTTGACTGATGGAATCTGTAGGATGCCCTCTCTGCCAGTGCAGGTGGGGCGGGCCAGTCCCACCGAGCTGAGGCGGTTTCTCAAATAAACCATTTTAAAAATGGGAAAAAAGCAATTGGTAAATACAGAAGGGTTGTGAATCATGTGTTCCTTTTATAGTTACTGCAATTATTATTCAATAAATGAATAATACTTACATTTTGAAACACTAACATTATAGCACACATGACTTATAAACTTCAGAAAATGCTTAGATTAATTTTTGGTAACATAGATGACTATCTGCATAGTCACTAAGAGTTGACAATAGTTTGATGGCACATAATCAAATATAGATAACTTACCCCAGTCTTGGTGGCCGGCTGCTGTTTAAAACAAAACATAAAAACAAAATTGAAGAAAAGGCAAGAATTTATATTCATCTATCAATCCTTTCCAGTTGTGATTTTGCTAGGTATTTCTTTTTCAATTCACTTTAATATGTGACACAACATAATTTTAATTCTAAGATTCTTGTTTTTAATCAAGAAATTGTACCTATGTATAGACTTAGTTTCTGCGGCATGGATTGATTTTTCTGTCAAAACTACTAGTCCTGACTAGTCCTTGTCCTGATCACCTAGAATCAGACCAGTGTTTCAATTACTTGCTCAATATATGCTGGTTAAACCTGTTCATTTCTTGTCCTGTCTGAAGGAGCTGCTTTATGCTCTGTATAATTCATGGCAAAGCATATCTATTCCAATAGGACAATAGCAAAACATATATATTGTAAATAACCAAAACAGCAGTGTTTTTCCTCTAGGTCAGAGGCATTTTATATTCAAATTTAACTAGCTTTTATAATCATTCCTCTTTAGTCTGAAAGAGGATAATTTGCAAAATTATCATTTTCAACATTATTTGGGAAAAGCAGATAGAGAGAGAATATTTAATATACCTATAAGCTATACCTGAAGCCCAGTCGTAACTATTGTAACAATGATGCAAACTTACTGAAGAAAACATTTGTGGTTTTTTTTCCAATTGGAATTCTTTTAAAGCATCATAGGTAATTATCATGCTATTTGTGACTGTATTTATACAAAGTAAATGTCATTTGTATTTACGCTTTTTTTTCCAGGTTCACCAATTGCTGCAACAGTGGCAAAATACTGAATGACACGTTTTGTGTTCACAGTTTTACCAGCACCAGATTCTCCACTGTAAACAAAAGAAAGACATTTTAATTTACAAGAAAATACAACTTGAAAATTAATCTTTTTGTAATGAGACTTAGCCATCTTTCCCTTAAAGTGTTCTTTCAGTGAATGTTTACAGAAAAATGGGGCTACCAGAACTTGGTTACAACAATCCAGATGACCTCTATGTGGCAGAAAAGAAACACTGAAAACTCTGCTGCCATCTAGTGGTTATCCCTATAGCTGCAGTCCAGACATAGAACATTAGAGGAAAGAGGAAAGTTCATCCAATATGGAGGAGAAGATTTTCCATAGGTAATGGTAATGATGCTGTACGAAAGTTCATCACCAATGTGTCACTGAATAAAAGTTGTTCATGAGCAGTATCAGGTAAAGGCTGTTGATGTAATGCTTTTAATTGGGTCCTGCAGCAAATAAGTACTGGAATAAAAGAAATTTGATCTTAATTCATCAGAGTTTTTAATATGTTCTCAAAGTACTTCTCAAACATGATCCAAGTTCACATATATTAGGAAGGAATACTAGGACAGTCTGTCTCAAATGTGCCATATTTATGACTTAAGGTAATCTCAATAAAAAGCTTTTATACAAACCACGGTTTCTTTTAGAATATAAGGACAAAATTAACTGTATGCCAAAATGGAAAGATTTAGCAACCAAGAACAAAATGAGGTTTCTCTAGATTTGCTTGTTCTGCTAAAAATTCTAGAAACTATTACAAAAAAAATTTTTTTTTGAATATAAAGCATCTGAGAAGAGTCACTTACGTAATCAGCATTGATTGGTTTTCTCGATCTATGTGAAAGAAAAAAAAATTCAACACCATTTTCTCCTCATAGATTATATGTAGGAAATAATTCCATTATTTTTAAAATACATATTTTAGGGGACTTTGTCAAAAAAGGTAATAAAGAATTTACTACAGAGAATCCTACAGGAAAACGTGTCATCCTAATCATCAATAAAAATGGGTTTGGTTGTTCTAGTGGATGGTAGCTGTCAGGTCCTAGATGAGGGAATGCATTCTTCTTGGTTTATTAGCCTCTCAGCAGCATTCAGTATAATTGACTATGGTATTCTACAGAATTTGGAAATTGGAGGGCCTCTTCTATGATAGCTCCATTTGTATCTGCTGATAGTGAAGAGTACAAGTAATGTGGGGTCCCAGAGAGCTTAAGGCTGCCCCTTATGTTATTGAACTTTTACATGAAACTGTTAGGAAATGTCATCTATCACTTTGGGACGATATATCAGTATGCTGATGACATCTAGTTACACATTGCCACTTCTGATTGAGCTAGGAATTTTTAAGAGTACAGGTAGTCCTCAAGTTAATGTAATGGAGCCTGCCCACTGAAATCCTAAATAGCTGTACAACTGAACTGTTCATTGTTGATGGTGCCCAGTCACTTCTTGTGACATGGGTGGGTATATAAATGAAATGAAATAATGAAAAATGAAATGAAATGAAATGAAATGAAATGGAAGGAAGGAAGGAAGGAAGGAAGGAAGGAAGGAAGGAAGGAAGGAAGGAAGGAAGGAGCAAACAAACAAAAACAAATTTGTATCTGTAGGATTGGGGGGGGGAAACAAATTCAGATTAAATCATGCCAAAAGTTGCTATTCATTAGTAAATAACTAGAAAATCCAATAATCACAGACTTTGAATGGGGCAATTCTCTTTCCAAAGCAAGTGTTTCATGACTTAAGGGTACTCCTAAATATTCAGTTCTTGTTCTAGCAGTTGGAGTAAAACTGTGGCTATGGGTTCTTTGTCCAGCTCTGGCTGGTGCACTAGTTATAATATTATCTGATTTAGGATGCCCTGGTGAAGGTAACTCAATCCCGGATCGCCCTGTTGGATTATTTTAATACAGCATACATTGAAATGCCTTTGAAGATGACTTAGAAACTGCAACTGATATAGTATTGTGAGGGCCAAGCTGTTGAGAGAAGAGCAGTACAGATTAGCAACAGTTTTAAGGTCATTGGGCTATTTACCAATAGGTTTCCAATAGGTCAGCTCAAAGTGCTGGTTTTATCTTCAAAAGTTCAAATGCTCAACACTGAAATATTTTAGGGAGAGCCTTGCCAGAACTGAATCTGCCCATTAAGTCCAAACACTTAGAGAGGGCTTGTTAAGACCATAAATTGGTAGAACAGTGGTATAGGAGTGTATCCCTGAGGTACATTCAACTCCTTATTTCATTTCAGAAATCAATCAATCAATAAAAAACATATTATTCCAACATGTTTTTGGCCCTTGACTGGATGCATTAGTCATAGGAATTTTTAGAACTGTACTAACATTTTTTAAGAGTACAGGTAGTCCTCAGGTTATGAGTGTAATGGAGCCTGCCCATTCCATTTGTAACTCAAGAATTCGTGGGAGTGAATCTTGTACTTTGAATGAGATCATCCCTGCTTTTGCCCATGCATTTGCTAATTGAATGCACTGCTCTTAGCACTGCTTGTTAAGTGCACATGAGGTATCTCAGGATGGAGAAGGCTTTCAGGGGCCCCAGTGATGGAACAGGCCTCCAAGGCCTCCCTGACCCACTAAGATACCTTATGTTTCCCTCTCCCTTCCTGCCGCTCTGAACTCACTTTCCTTGCAAAGATCTGTCTCCTGTCTGCCATGGTTTCTGCCTTTGAGGGAGAGGAGAGTCGATGGGAGCTCCTGGGTGCCGTAATATCATGCAAGTTCAGGCACCCATTCTCTTTTGCAGAGAATGGATTCCTGAACTCTTGTGAGATCACGGACCCCAGAAACTTTTATTTTGAGGGCAAAAAGTGTTTATGGTGCCTGTCTCCTGCTCCCCCCCCCAAGAACTTGAAGAGACTGGAAGCTTTGTCTGCCTGCAAATGGGGTGCATGAGAATGGAGTAGAATGCTCTATTTCAAGGTGCCCCATTTGCAGCCAGACGGAACTTCCGGTCTCCCCAAGGTCTCCGTCTGGATAAGAAGTGTTTGAGAGCCTTTGGGGCTCTTTGAAATGGAGCAAAATGCTCCATTTGGATGGAGACCTTAGGCTTACAGTCTCCCCAAGATCTCTGGAAAGGAGTTGGGGGGACCAGGAGACAAACATTTTTCGCCCTGAAAATGAAAGTTTCTGGGGTCTGTGATCTTGTGAGAGTTCAGGCACCCATTCTCTGCAAAAGAGGATGGATGCCTGAACTCACAAGATAATACGGCACCCAAGAGCTTCCATTGACTCTTCTCTCTCTCAAAGGCAAAGAAACTACAGCAGAGAGGATTTTTGCCAGGTAAGTGAGTCCAGCATGGCAGAATGGGAGGGGGAAGCACTTATGGGGAGCAGGGAGGGAATAGGCCCTCTGCAGGGCGAACAACTGCTGTGGTGCTGCAACATTTGTAATTTTGGGATTTGCTCATAAATACTCGGGGGCGCTTATCGCGTAACTTCAAACGAGCGCTAAGTGAAGGCTCGTAACTCGGGGATTACTTGTATTTCAACATTATTTTTATGCTTAGTTGTTAATCATCTAGACCAATGGTTCTCAACCTTTTCTTCACCATGGATCTTTAAATATCTTTTTTGGTCATGGACCCCCAAGACTTAATTCAAGATTTAAATCATAATATTTCTTTAAGCCTTCATGGACCCCCTGTAATGACCTCGTGGCTCCCAGGGGTCTGTGGACCACAGGTTGAGAACCACTGATCTAGAGTTCCTCAGGACTAGAAGGTTTTCTTACTATGGGTTGTTTTTTTTTTTTTTTTTACTATAACAAAAATTACACAAAAGAAAGAATTGGGGTGATCTACAAATATTATTAAATAAATAACCCAGTTTAAGAGATTGTCAAACTAGGCCTAATTTTTGCCTTATAACAATAATCATGCATTTTAAAGTAGTGACAGTCCATATTTAAATACAAGATAATTATACAAATCTGTGAAACATATTATTAGGGTCTGAAGAATTACAGATTTTGTTTGACTTTTCTGTATATTATTCAATATACATTTTTATAATATATAACATATCATTTAGTATATTATGGCCTTCTAGTGTCAGTAAAGAAAGTATCCATTTGTACCATACTGCTCTTTAAATTGCTGTACATTGATTATAGTCTGTAAAGCTTGTATGGTAATATCCATGGATGCTGAAAACAGTGCAAATATTCTATCCCAGATGTCAAGCGTGCATCGCTACTGCCCTCTAATGGAAGAAATCTAATGTGCCAAAATGTTTGAATTATGATAATCACAATCTATCTTTGCAGCAGTGCAGGAGGTTGATCTGATAATCATACATCATTTTGATATTTAAATTGAACTCAACTAAAGGCAACATAGATATTGATGGGAAAGTGTACTCTCATTTCCCTCATTAAGAAAGCTTCAAAGAATGTCTACAGTCAATCGTGTTTTTAAAAACTGAAAAACATCTCAAATATCTCTTTTGTTTTGTTTGTAGAGCTCAGCTGAAGTTTCATAGTAGCTATTGTCCCAAATGTGAGTGATGCTAAGAATCATAATGCTTACATTTCTCGATTTTTCACTTTTTATCTAGTACCTTACAACCCTCTAACTCTCCAATTTAACATATCTATGAATTCATTGGGTGAAGTCTCACCATCTGTCATCACAGTTAGATTATTGCAACAGGCCATTAGGCTCTTTTGAAGATTTTGAAGATCCACAATGACTGACTCAAGTTTTGATGGCTTTTATTTTGTTTGTCCATGTGACACCAGTATTTTGGAAGTTGCCTTGGCTTGGAGCAGGTTTCCAAGTAATTGTATCCAAAAATACAATTGTATACAACAATAATTGTATTCAATAATATTTTTCTTTTAATCTCTTTATATCTCTGCAGGACTACCTTATATCAATATGCCTGCCCTATGACATCTAGTAGGAGAGATTCCTGAAGTCCTAACACCTAGGAGATGCTAACACCAAGAACTCCAGGGTTGGCCCTTCATTGTATCATTTTCACTCTTGCAAACAACATGGCCCTTGAAATTTGTACTTTATTCCTTTCAGATCATGCTTTTCCAAAAAAGTTTGAAGACCGATGGATATTTGAATGATCCTGACCATAGAGTCTTAAGAAAGGAGGGTTTTATTGTTATACTGGATTGTTTTGCTTTTCTGTTAATTTCTCCATATTTTAGCTTTGTTTTAATATAATTAATGGATCACGGAATATACACTGCTCATAAATGTGTCTAATTGGAGCAGCAGATAAAATCCATAAATAACCAAATAAATAAAAAAGTAATTTCAAATAAGATATTTTCTATATGCTAAAAATCTTTTAGAAAGCTTTCCAATGTAGAATAGGCTTTTTCTTAAAAAAAAAAAAAAAAAGTATTTCTAGACCAGAATGAAGATGACATCACTAGAAAGGTTACCGTTAAAACTTTGGTTCCATTTTGTACAACTTTAAAAAAAGCAAATTAGGGAATTAAGTCCAGCAGAGGTTTAGTGCACCTATATTATATTAACTAAAAACTTTACTGCCATATATTGGTGATTAGTCATCAAATTTTAACAAAGTGATCTGGAGACACTTGAGGCTACATGTACACACACACAGAGAGAGAGACACACACACAACTTTTAAAAAGAATTGTGGTCAGATAGATTTACTTACTACGCAACATATCATGATATGCATTATCTGCAATGGAGAAGATGTGGGGAGGAGCCTCTGAGCGTCTCTTCCCTTTGTAAGCAGCAACTACTTCCGTTTTGTAGACAGGAAGCCATTTGTAAGGGTTTATTGTCACACAGAAGAGGCCTGAGTAAGTCTAGAAATTGAAAAAATGGATATCATTTTTTTAATAAATAGGAGGAATATTGTCTCTTCATCTAAGAAGGAGTAAGGACGGAGATATAAAAGGGAATATCTAATAAAATAGATACATAAATCTTCAACATTCTTAGGTTAGGTCTAGTAGTTAAGGCACTAGGCTAGAAACCAGTTTTGCGTTTGGCATGAAAGCAGCTTTGTGACTTTGGACTGTCCCCTCAGCCCAGCTCACCTCACAAAGTTATTGTTGTTGGGGAAAGAAGGAGCAGGAAGGTGTATTAGATATATTCACCATTTCAAGTTATTTATAAAAATAAAAGTGGGTTAAAAAATCTAAAATAAAAGCAGAATATAAAAATCTATGCAACCAAAGAAACATCATCATTTTATACATAATTTAAATAATCTTCAGACAATTTACAATTATTAACATGCTTAATTTCAACAGGCAGCTGAGGAGAGTTTTGGGGGCCCATGAGAACTTCATAGGTCTGTAGGTTGTGGGTTGTACAACTCTGTCTTAAGACAATGCCATTATTCAATTGCCATATTCACACACATCTCTCTTTAGAAATTCTTTAGAATTTAGAAAGATGTGATGAAAAATAATTTATTTATTAATCTTTTCCAACATCCTTGACCCAAGGAAGATCCACTGACTCTACTGAGCCTAAAGTATTAATTTGCTTTGTTTTCTTCCATTTTGGAAACAGCCTTCCCCAAATTGTTGTCCTTTAAATAGGCTGATAAGGATTAGAGGAGAAAGTTCACAAATTTACTAAAGTAAATAGAGGAATGTATGACAAAAATTATTTCATAAAAATAATTCCTGAACCATTCTTTAGGGGAAAGCATTAAGACATTCTTTTACAAAAATACATTATTCAAATAGCACATTTTAAGATGACAAAGTAAAGAAATCATACATAAATCATCCAGTTAGAGTAGCGTCTATACAAATTATATAGTACTGAAGCTTCATTTAGGTGGGTCAACATAGCCATATCTTCAATCATGTCAAACTTTGGTGGGTTCATCTGCTGAACATCATCTTCTTTTACAGTAACAGTCTGTAAAAAAAAAGGAAACTTTAATTGGATGCATTCTCTTTCCCATTATTATTAATTTGAAAGCTATTTATGTACATCTCTATCTCCATCTTCCATAGTTGTGTCTGATTCTTAGAGATTGCCTGCGCAAGTTTTCTTAGAAGTTGTTTGCCATTGCCTCCTTCCTAAGGTTGAGATGAAAGGGACTGACACAAGATCACTCAGGTGGCTTTGCCTCATGCCTTAACCATTACACCAAACAGACTTTCAGATAGCTAGATGGATGGATAGATGGATGGATGGATGGATGATATGACAAAAAATGAAAAAAATCAAACACGGGGAAAAAGAGAAAGAAAAATATCTAAATAAGTGAATTCTGATCTTTGCAGCAGTTACAAACATAATTATTACTATTTATACTCTCCCAAATTATATAACATGATCCTTCTTCCCCTAAACAACTCTTTTCCTAAAATCATCAATTCATTTTTGTCCATTTTCAGGAAAAGTCCATAATGGTTTCTAATCTTTTGATAAAAGTAGTTATTGTTCGTCTCCTAATAAACAGGTCAATTTAATCATTTTAGTTAAGTTCTACTATCTTCACAGTCCATTCCTCCATTGTGAGTAATTTTGTATGTTTCCATCTTTGTGGCTATAGTAGCCTCACTACAAAAGGTCATTTTTAATAGATACCACTATTAAAGATTATTTCCAAGTACGAATTATTAACAAATGCAACTTAAATTTTAAACAGATCAGCACGGTCTTGTAGCAATATCTCTGATTATCAAATAGAAAAATAAAAATGTATCTCTTATTTTAAAAATTATGGGTTACTATTGCTGTTTGTAAACGGTAGGTTTGTAATTTTGTTTTATAACATATGGTGTAGAAATTCAAATAATGATAACAATGGATTTGAGGTTTTCAGATATTAATAATGATGCTGGCCAATAAGAAATAAATTAAAAGCCATCTGACATAAAAGACTGTAAGCTATATTCAAAGTTAAATTCTAGCCACTGGAAACCATATTTCATGAATGAAAACATTTAAAAACCTATGAAACTGAGCAAAGAAGCATGCTTATTTAAAAACATTCCAAACAGCTGAATAATTATTAAAGTGGCTATTGACTGTTGAAGAAAACAACTTAAGTTCTTTAAGATTGTTTACAGTGCTTTTGGGGAATGTACAGAGAATTACAAAATCTGCCTCTTATCATCGGTTTGGGTTTTTACATTTTGTAAACTCAGATCTTTTTCTTCTACTCTGCTTATATTCAGTTGCTTTCTATTCATGCATGTGACATAAAAGAGTTAAGGTTTTGTTGCTCATTGCCTCTGAGAATATTCAGAGTTCTCATAAATACTGCAGCTTAATCAACATTGGAAAGAGAAGTTTGATCCAGAGCCTCCACATAAGTAAATCATACGTGCCCACCCTGATTCCCCCCAAAGATGGCAGCTGAAAAATGTATTATTACTTCCACAAGACCAAAGAATCCCCTATATACTTAATCACCCATCCACCTTCATACTTAACCATATAAATCAACTAAGATATGGATCATCTTTATATAATTACTCTCGTGCACGTTAACATGTTAACATGAATCTTATGCATGTTAAGCCCAAAGCCTCAAATCCAAAGGTGTGCATGTATTTGTAGGGTACTTTGTTCAAGTCGCTACAATGATTGTCACTGCAAGACAAGGTAAAAACTGCTGCACTCTTTTTAAAAGGACTTATATTTTAGCATTGGCTAAATATACTAAATATATATTTAGTATATATAAGAGCAAATGTGATGTAGTGATAAGACATCATTATATGATCCAGGAGACAATGATTTCTAGGCTCACCTTAGGCACACCAATCCAGCTAAGGTACCAATCCTTCTCTCTATCAGCCCTGTGAAGAAGGCAATAGCAAACAACTTCCAAAAAATATTTTTTTTCTTGCCAACAAAATTATAGGGACTTGTCTGGACAGTCACCAGGCATCAATACTGAAGGATGATGGATGGATGGATGGATGGATGGATGGATGGATGGATGGATAGATGAATGGATGGATGGATGGACGGACGGACGGACGGATAGACAGACAGACAGAAAACTATAAAGGCAACCTCCAATCTCTATATGCCATTTCTTTTTTGTCTTGGATTAATTGACCTTTTTGTTAAAGCATCTCTTTATGGCTGGCACATTGTTTCTCTGTCTTGTAGGTCTTGCACCTGTGATCTATCAAGCAGAGAAGGTTCCTTACCTTCCCATCTATAGTCTCCACAGTAACTTTGCCACCACCACTCTCCTTGATTTCTGCTTCAAGATATGCTTTCTTTTCATCAGGAATCCAGCATTTCTTCTTTCCTTGAAAAGAAAGACATTTTTGTCATCATACAAGGATGCTAAATACTTAAAATTGTCAAATAATAGTAACAACTGTATATTATACAATGTTCCCTAAGCAGTATTTAGGTTGCTTGCTTTCTCTAAATGCTCAACCCATTTCATAGATCAAGTAGTGCCTACAAAATCTATTCAGATAAGACAGTTTTAAGATGGGTGGGCTTCAGTTCCCAGACTTCCCCAGCCAAATGTTTTCTTCACCTCAGCGAGGATAGTTTATTTATATATAAAACAAACCAACAAATAATTGGTCCTCACCTGCTATTATAAACTTTGCCTGATATAACTAGTGTAATTCTGTGATTCAACCAGAATGATTTCTTCCCGGACAACAAAATGGCTAAAATCGAAGTTCAGACTACAATGCACCTTTTATATCAGAACTTTCAATTATATTGTATCTGATCAGGTATCTGTTTTACAAGTCTAGGAGAAATGATGGGCAGCAGAATCACATTGTATCTTACCCTCAAAGGCCACTGTCTGCAACATCATGATTTCCCTCTCACTTTTTCGGAGGAAAGGTGCAGCTTCCCCGAACTCCGATGCGTCCATCATCTTGGCAAGCAAATTGAAGGAGGTATGCTCACAAAAGAAAAATGAAGCAAGCTAGCCTACAAAGAAAAAATGATAAAGGAGTTCAAACAGAAGTAGGTAACATCTTTTCTATTTTCCAACATAGCCAAACATAGACCCTGAACAAATAAAGAGAAAGTCCATATATTATTGAGATTAAACATACATTTGCATCAGAAAAATCATTCCAGTTAAAGTAGAAAAGGAAGGTGCTTCTTGGTTGAAATAACAAATTTAAATTAAAATATTGAACTAAGGCTGGTGACTTCCAGATTCAAATTTCTCTTGTCTCTTCAGGAAAGAAGCTGATCTTGGGCTAACCTTTATCTTTCAGCCAATTTACTTTGCAGGATTATTATTGTAGAATAATACTGGAGAAGTACTTAACCACAAATACTATATTGTACTCTTAGTGAAAAAGTGGGCCATACGGGGGTAGAGCCTTTATATCTTTAATTCCAAAAGAAGATCAAGATCTTACTTTACCAAAGAATTATAGACCTATATCTCTTTTAAATGTAGATTATAAGATTTTTGCAAAAATCTTAGCCAATAGGCTCATGAGGGTTTTGCACCAGCTTATACATAAGGACCAAATGGGTTTTATAACTGGTAGGTATATGAAGAATAACGTTAGACAAATTATTAACTTACTAGAATATTTAGATAAGAATAACCAAGTTTCTGCAGGACTGATATTTTTAGATGCTGAAAAAGCTTTTGACCAATTGAATTGGCAGTTTATGTTAAGATTAATTGAGGATATGAATTTTGGAGAAAAAAATTTACAAGCTCTTGGTGCTATATATCAAAAACAAACGGCACAACTCATAGTCAACGGGGGTTTGTCAGAGGTTTTTACAATAGAAAAAGGGACAAGACAGGGATGTCCATTGTCACCACTACTGTTTGTTTTAACTTTGGAAATTTTGCTAATTAAAATTCGAGAATCTCAGGAAATAAAAGGAATAGAAGTTAATAAAAAAGAATACAAACTAAGAGCTTTTGCAGATAACTTGGTGGTTACCTTGTCTCAACCTACCTATTCTGTAGTAGAGTTGTTACAATTGATTTACCAATATGGACGGGTTTCGGGATTTAAAATTAATAATAATAAGACTAAAATATTACCCAAAAATATGACTAATTTGGATAAGCAGACTCTGGTTAACTTGACAGACTTTGAAGTTGTTGATAAAATAAAATATTTGGGGGTTATTTTATCTGTTTCTAATGTAAAATTGTATAAAAATAATTATGAAAGGTTGTGGGTCAGGGTACAAAGAGATTTGAAAAATTGGGAGAAGTTGCAATTATCCCTTATGGGAAGAATTGCGGTGATTAAAATGAATGTCCTGCCAAAGTTTCTCTTTTTATTTCAAATGATACCTATCTTAAAGAATGAGGTTAACTTAAATGAATGGCAGAAGGGTATCAATAAATTTATTTGGGCAGGGAAAAAAACCAAGAGTAAAGCTTAAAATTATGCAAGATATTCGTGAGAGAGGTGGACTCAAGGTACCGAATTTGAAATTGTATTATGATGCTGTGGCTTTAACATTACTCAGTGACTGGGTTAATTTAACAAATGTAGAAATACTCCACTTGGAGGGTTGGGATTTACTTTTTGGATGGCATGCCTATTTAATTTTTAATAAAAAAGTTGACCGGGTTTTTAAATCTCATATTATAAGGATTTCTTTACTTCGGGTTTGGAGGAAATATTATAAAAGTGATTTTAAAATACCATTATGGGCTATACCTTGGCATGCGATAGAGGGGATAAGGAGAGGAGTTAAGATGGATAGTGTTTCTTATGCACAATTACTCAGATGGGATGGTAAAAATTGGCAGTTAAAATCTTTGGAAGATTTAGCACATGAAAATATTACATATTCATGGTTTCAGTATAGACAAATAGTGGATAGATGGAAGATAGATCGTAATATGGGTTTGCTTAGAGAAGATGAAAATCTTTTTAAACAAGTAAAAGACCAAAGGCGAACTCATATTAAGAGAATCTACGGGGTGCTAGTAGAACTGGATTCAGAACCAGAATTAATTAAAGAATGTATGATTAAATGGGCACAAAATTTTGGTGAACCAGTTCTACTGGATACCTGGGAAACCATCTGGGTGAGGAATGTTAAATTTACACAAGCCCAGAATTTAAGGGAGAATTTTTACAAAATGTTTTACAGATGGCATCTTGATCCACAAAAAATGTCTCGTATGTATCCTGACTTACAGCCTAAATGTTGGAGATGTGGTTGTTTGGATGCTACTTATTATCATATTTGGTGGTCGTGTAAAAATATAAAAGCTTTTTGGATTAAGATATGGTGGAATATTCAAAGAATTTTTAGAAGGAGGGTAAAATTTACCCCACAATTTTTTTTTGTTGGGTATCGTTACTGATTGTGATGTTAAGGAGGTTATACTGATGTTAAATTTAATTACAGCCGCAAGGTTGTTAGTAGGGCAATACTGGAAGAAGGAATCTTTGCCTACCTTGCAAGAATGGTTTTTTAAAGTTTCTTATTTGGCGGAAATGGCAAAGATTTCGGCTTTTTTAAAGGATCAATCGCAAGAGAAGTTTTTTGCGGTATGGGAAAAATGGATAGATTTTATACAACATAAGTTGGATATAAAAAAATATTACTTAGTTTTTCAATAACTTATATATAAATTTTAATATTTCATAGATTGTATTTTTTTTTCTTCTCTTTCCTTATATTTCTTACTTTTATTTCATCTTATTTTACTTCCTTTTTTATATATATATATACATCTTTTCTTCTTTCTTTTCTCTTTTATTCTTTTTTTTAAGCTTTTTTCTTTTTTAATATTTATGCTTTTCTTTTTTACATATACATTATTGTCAATTATTTTATAAGCTTATGTAATGTATTTAGATATATTTATGGTTTATACTTTTTTAATTTCTTTTTAAGATTTTTAGAAATTTTAATTAAGCCTATATTCAGCTCTGGGAAGGTTGGGGGGATGGAGTGGGAGGGTTGGGGTGGTTGGGTAGGGTTGTTTTTTGTTTTTTATCTTTTCTTTTTTCTATTTGTAAAAATTTTAAAAATTTTCAATTAAAAAAAAAAAGTGGGCCATACATTGAGCAAGTTAATAAATTTGGAAGCAGACTGCTCATTTTCTGTAGCAAAAGAAAACTTCTAAAATAATATAAATTTAATAAATGAATAATTTAATTTAATTTAATTAATTAATACATGCATGTTCTAAAGCCCACAGATAACATTGTTCCCCAGTTCCAAACATACACATTCATTTGTTTTTAAATATCTCTGTTGTTCTCTGTTGTTCTAGACTGCTTACAATAGTTCAGTAGTACTGATTTGATTGTGCAGATAATTGATTCTATACAATTTCAGATTATTCTTATTATTTCAAGTCCCCTTTTTTCAGCTTATATGATTCATTTGGAACATTTTCAATGTGTATCACCCAGCATCAATTTTTTAGGTGAGTAGAAAGATAATGATCAGTCTCAATCTTCTTTGGAAACATTATTTCTGATATGGACACCATTTTTTACCTAATACATAATTTGTTAAAGTTATTTATGTCCCACTATTATACCATAATGTGACAATCTCAAGGCACTTCAAAATATGAACCAAAACCAACAGTTACTGGTTGACCTTGAAGAAATATATTCCCCTCTGGAGAATTCAGCTTCCCACTCCTGTTCTGCTCCCAACACATCCTAGTGCCTCCAAATATATTGGTACTACAACTGTTATAATTGCTTACTAATTCTGCCAGCTGGAGATTGTAGGAGTTAAGGAAGGCTGATTTTGGCACACAATGCTGCCATATTGAATCAGACCATTTAGTTCAGAAGTATTTATTCAGATTGACAGCAACATAGCTTACAACTAGTCACAAACAACTGAAACAGGCAGAATATTCTTCAGTTTTATATAGATATATATATATAACACTTAATACTATTAAGGAATACACACACACACACACACACACACACACACACACACACACACACACACACACACATATATATATATATATATATATATATATATATATATATATATATGATAGCTGTAAAAATATGACTCCTGGGCATAATTATAAATAAAAATAAATAACATGCAACCACCAGGAGGATCTAAGTAAGAAAATACTTTACTAAAACCACCAAGCTTTCATTGGGAACTCCCAACATCGTCAGGGCTAAAAGCCAGTTAACAAAGATGACTTAAATAGGTTTAGCTGACATTTGCAGTTGGCTCTTAGATCGCGTCACCGGCCCTGGCCGGTCAATTTGTATTCCAGATGTTTCTTTGATATTTGTATTGCGTTATCTTCTTTCGTTCTTCTGGATCTTCTTCCTTCATTATCAATATTTAGATTTGTCAACACCCTTATATCCTCCTCCCTTCTAATGATATTTACTCCCATTTCATCTTTCCTTCTACTGCGGTCTACGGGGGCATTTAATTTTCCCTTAATGTTATTATCCGTCTCATTAGGGCTCCAGGTACTTTTTCTCACCCCCTTTTTCCCACCTCCTTTAAATGAAGGAGCAGGTAAGAAGATCCGGAAGAATGACAGAAGAGAACGCAATACAAATATCAAAGAAACATCTGGAATATAAATTGACCGGCCAGGGCCGGTGACGCGGTCTAAGAGCCGAGTGCAAATGTCAGCTAAACCTATTTAAGTCATCTTTGTTAAATGGCTTTTAGCCCTGATGATGTTGGGAATTCCCAACGAAAGCTTGGTGGTTTTAGTAAAGTATTTTCTTACTTAGATCCTCCTGGTGGTCGCATGTTTTATATATATATATATATATATATATATATATATATATCCTTAATATCATTAAAAATGCAAATCCTGGGCATACACATGTCAATAAAATATAGGAAAAATGAACACCAGGATAAAAATAAACAGGATCGTTTAATATAAACAAGCCTGTAAGTAAAAGAGTTACTGAGCTTTCGTCAGCCAAACTACTGACGTCATCAGAGTTAGAACGCTAGGTGATTATTTGATAGTATTAATTGTACTGAAAAGGACTTTTGTTCATTTATACAAATATTTTCACTCCTGAACTACTACCATATTTCTGATTCCTTGTTTCATTAAGGGGATATTGATTTCATTTTGCACAAAATGAAATCACCATAATGAATGATTCTAGTTTTCAACCTAAGAAAATTCAGATTTGACTTGTCTCAAACTTTGTGCAGGACCACAGATAAGTATTTATAACAAATATGAGTAAATTTATTATATTAAACCTTTGGCTTGGTGCAGAATGATTATTGATTTCTAAAATACTTGATTTACAAATTCCAGTATCTTCTTTGCTCATGAGTTTAGCTGAGACCGAAGGAGCCACGACACACTTTATAGATTTAATAACATGTCTCATCTGCATGTTTTAACTTACTAAATCTCTATAAAAGTCCTTTGTTCCAGATAGGCCCTTCTTTTTCTATAAGGTCATATACACATTCTATCCTATATATAACCATGTTTTACAGTTTTTTAAATAATTGGTAATTACTGATAATTTTGCAAAACTTTTGAAATATTTTTATACAGTTATCCAAATGTATTAGATTTGAAAGAATAAAGAGTGAGAAATTTAAGAAATATTTTTTGTCCTTTATATTGCTTTTTGGATTTTGCTAATGTTAATGTTTTAAAATGTTTTAAATTAAAGAGAAGGATGATAATAGCTATCCCTGATTAGTTCATCTTAAAACTAGACATTCAAGAGAATAATCAACATTATTTCTTATTTATGCTCTCGATGTTTATATAGCTGACACAATACCTTCTTGGTGGTAATTGCTATTATGTCTGCTTAATTTAGTACACTCTTATAAGAGTTATCAAAAAGGAAGCCTTGGTTTAAAAAAAAGTAAAGAGTTCCTTTTGTGTTTCACTTTTATATAACAAATGTCTCATTCACTGAAAACTACATTGAATGCAATTGACCTCTGCTTGTAATTTCATGTCATCAGTGACAAGAAATCTTTCCAGGGTTTCTTTTATATGTTAGCAATGACTCAGAGCTAAAAGTATTAATATATCAGATTTCCACTACAGAATCCTAAAGTGGTATACTTGGAAATAAGGACCACATATCAAGATTTTTATCCCAAGATAGAAAATCTCAGTAATCTTTATAAATTTTCAGCTATTAAGTTTGGAAATAATAGGAATAATCTTTTCCATACAGGGTTTCTTACCTGTTGAGATTGTTCATAGTCTTTAAGTATTAGGTTAATTTCAGAAAGGTGTCATAATATGCTATATGAATCATGGCAATAGGATGTAATTCCTGAGCTAAATAAACATTGGACAGAAATACTAAGTAACGTTAAAAATAGGGAAAGGGGGAATTCTAATCTAAAATAAAAATTTAAAATTAAATAAAGGAAAATAAAATAATAATGAAATATTGGAAAGTTAAAAAGAAGAGTATTATGAGTAAAAACAGGAAGAATACAAACCAAAGAAAAAGCCCAACAATAGCTGTATAGCATTACAATGATTAATGTTTTCTCATCTGCAATAAGAATTGGCTTAAACTATACATTTCTAGAGGACTCCAGTTTAGCTTTGACTTAATCTCAATCCACAATCTGTTTAAACGGTAGCAAAGAATGGATTCCAATGATAATTGGAAAAATAGAATATGACAGTCTTTAGTTTAACAATCTCCTTTCAAAACACTAAGCATTTAGTGCATCTAATCTATACATTATTGGCAGCAACAATATTCTCTGTTTATGTGACTAGCAAAACTAAATCTTTATATTTTAGCAGAAAAACACACGATACTTTATAGGACACCAGGCTCAAAATATACCCATATATCTTCAGAAAGAAGAGAGGTTAATACCTACCCTGGCAAGAAAAGGACCAACTAAGGAGATTCTGCTGTTCCTGGCTTTTATACATCTTTCACCAAGGTCATTGATGATAGCGACGTAAAAGGCATCAATAGTTTCCCTTGTTTCTAAATTTGGCTGCTGGTCCTAGAAGAAGATGGGGAGGGTGGGGGAAAGCAGGCACATTTCAAAGAACGTGGCTTTTAGGGACAAGGGTTTATTAATTAGTTTGGATTCTAACTCACCATTCTTTATTAAGCAATGTAAAATTTACAAAATAAATGTTATTCCAACCAAAGAACTATTGGTGATCAAATTAAAAGAAAAAAAAATACAAACCTTATTTGGACTGCAAGACAATCCTGCAAAGGTTCATAGTCCTGTGATAAATTATAGGAACGAAAGAAAGGGAGATGGAGTGGAAATACACTTCTTGCCATCTACAGTATATTTAGTAGTCTGGGAGAATATTTGGGCATTGTACAGTTTTAGTACCTACTATGGGTAACATTTACTAGGATCCCACACCAAACAAATTGCAAATTAAGGGTACTAATAATTTGTTAGTCACTATCAAAATCCAAATTGACATCACAGAAATATTTGTAGTAGCTGGCCAGATTATTTTTAATTTGTTTCAGTGAATAATATTAACCTGGTCTGGCTTAATTAATGAGAGAAAAGCATGGAGCCAAACTAGGGTTAGTAAGGCAATTGAATGTGCTTCGCTCATTTGGAGATTTTATTTAATTTAATCTCCTGGGCTCCAGCATATTTGCTAATATCACAATCTAAAATGACCGTGTTTTATTCACACAGGCTGCATCTTTTGGAAACTCCCTAATTCACACCTTGGGTTGCATGGCGTAGGAAACTCAATTAAACCTCCAGCCAATCAATTGATAAATCACCCCCTGCCAATCATCTGGAAGTATTTTTCATCATGTCAAGTCATGACTTTTTCTAGTGAAATATTGAGGTTTTATGCATAGGAGGAAAATATGCATAGGTAAAAAGAGGTAAATTACAAGTTGTATGCATTGAGATAGCTCACTCTTCTGCATGTGCACATGTTAAATTCCCCAAAAGAAAAAAGGGATTCTTGCTCCTTTTATAACTGTGTTAAAAGAAGGTATTTTATCAGGTAACTTGTAATTTTTTTTGTGTTGGAATCTCCATCTATTCAATGTAATTAAAAAAAAACCTTCCACATCTGATCATTTGAACAAATAACTTCATTAAAACATTAAATACTTGAGAAATTGTTTTTTTAATGGCTATGATTGTAAGGCGCCCAGAGTTATCTTGAGGTAAGATGGGCGGCCTATAAATTTTACAAATAAACAAATACTGAAAAGACAAAATGTTTCTTATCAATATTATTTTTCAGAAAAGATATTTTCAGATGTAGGAGCCGTCATGGAAACGACTTCAGGAGCCAAGTGCTGCCTTTTTTAGGAAGTAGAACTTGGCAAGGGATCTCTTGGGCAAATCCACGTGAAGGGAATGGTTCATGTGAGAACAGATGTATTGACTGTTAAGAACTAAATAGGTCTTAAAGAACTAACTGAATTTTGTGTCTGGAAACAAATTAGAGTCAATAGCTATTTTGGAATGTGTCTTCTTCAATACCCTTTCAAGTAACATGATTCCTCAGCCAGAATCCTATTTAATGGAAGTGAATTTCGCTGGCTCTTTAAATGTCTTTACATTCATGCATATATTGAATGCCCATTCCTATTTGAAGGAAAATAAGATATCTAACTTTAAGGAGCACAGATATGAGTGCAAATAGCTTACTAGTGTGGATATTTCCAAAGGAAACAGCTTAGGTTAGTTATTCTGTTCCTCTCTGGACAAGAAGTGTTCACTATCTTTAGCCAGTCAAATAAAAAAACTACTTTTATACTTTACTTCTTCTCACTTTTTGAATAGTCTACCTGCTAAGTAAGTAGTTGAAAAACTGAACCTTTTGGAAGATTTGAGTTTTCACAAGTGAGGAGACATTATACCGGGTGTCTTACTAAGAAAATAATGACATTAAAAACTAATTGAAATTAATACAAGGTGCTTACCATGTTCATATGGGTGCATACCATGGTCCCATCAAAAACAGATTTTGAGTAGTGTGCAAGAGCTGTGCTCCAAAAACTATGTTTACACATAAAATGGATTAAAAATATTTAATGATTACTTTTTATATTAAATGATTATTTTTTTATATTGTAAGAGCAAAAATTATACTTCAGGCACAAATATAGATATGCTTCAGAGTCCCTCTCAAGCTTTTAGATTCTATTATTTATATTATTTATAATTTAAATTATTTTTTCATCTGTAGTTATCAATCAACAGCTATACACAATTGCTGTAGACAATTATAATATTGTTATAAGAAATGCAAGCCACGGTCTTTCTAGTATGAAACACAGTATTCATACATCAGTTAGATTAATCATGATTTCTTTTCCCACTGGAAATACAATGAACTTTTTATTTCTTTGCAAATAAAAATGTATAGAGTTAAAAAACTGATGTATCACAACTCTATCACAGGGCTATCTTATAAACGTATATGGTAGTTCTCTAGATGTTAACTATAAACTCCAATAGCTATACTGACATCTTCAATGAAAAAGACAGGGAACTGTGATTCCACAACGCTTAAAGAATCACAGCTTTTCCATTCATGATATAAATTAACATAAGGCAAAATAAAGCAGAACAAGAAAGCTAAACATTCATTTTATTTTCCTAGCAGAAAGTAATCTTAAAATTGAAATCCATCTTGATTAGGTTGTCAAAACTATCCAGAATGTGTTGACAGTCACATATTGCATTTCAGACCAACAAGCAGTATAAAAAAGCAATATTCTGCTGTGGATTCTGAGAAGTGTTAACAAGCATCCAGATCCTGATTGAAAGCTTTGCTTTCTTCTAGTATTGACTCAGCATCCCACCTATCGTAGCTGCATCTTTTTTTATTGTTGCTGTTTGAAAATTCTCCTTAACCTGTACAAAAAAGTCTCAATACACAAACAAAAGTCACACATTTCTGTAGATATACATTGTACTGTGGACTTTCCAGAGCCAGACAGTAAAGTTTTTAATGAACCAACCCAAACCAACAATTTGGAGCTATAGATAGTTCTTGTCTCTGTGCCATTACAATACTCAAAAGTATTTTTATTTTGATGTATGAAGACAACAGCTATCAAAAAGAAAAGCTAAAAACAAAGATTACAGATCCTATATTTCAAGCAAATCCAGGGCAGAGGATTTTATTTCTTTCTCTGCATACAGTAGGTCTTATTATCTATAGGCAGTTTCCCAAAGAGCCTAGCTCTTTCAGAATGAATAAAAGAAAAGTACTGTCAAGGCAGACTTCAGTCCGGCAGGTGCTTGGTCAAGCTTCATCCAATCTGAGGCCAGAACTAGAAAACCTACAGTTGGAAATGCAAGTACCAAGCTCTAGTAAAATCTTAGAAAAGTCTTAATAAATAAAAAAACCTGAAGAACCAGTGTGATGAGTGGTTGGCCCCTGTCCATTGTTTCTGTAATGGAGTCTAGTCTCTCTCCTTTGCATTGGCTCTTGACAGCTGTTTCCTTCATAAATCCATCTGCAGGAATCTTGATTAATCACTAGATCTGCAGAGTTATAATGATTCATAAGAAAATATAATTTTTGCTGTGGTTCAAATAAGCTGGAGAGAGGTCAGAAATAAACAGAGTCAAATCTCCAAAACAGCACTGCAGGTGGAAACATTAAACCACCCTTGGCTAATTTCAAAAGGCTAGCAGAGTTACACCTGATTAACATTTGCATATACGTTTCCAGGGAAGCATAGAAGTTTGAAATCAATCACCGAAAAGCCCAATGGAAGTAGACAGTGGGAAACTACGTCTATAGTCTTCTTAAGAAAGCCAAATGTCCACATCCATGTATTTACTATAATATGAGCTTGAATCAAAGACGATTTTACTGTTTGTTTAATTCTAGCTTTAAAGAATGAATGATTCTTTGAAAGCTTGTCAAATGTTGCAGCTATTTTCAACAAGACAGGTTGCATTTATTTCCAATTCATAATCTTGTCATTCAACTAGTAATGTCTTTTACATGCTGAGAGTTGGAGATGGTAGGGTAATTGGAGTGCATAATTAAAATGACACTGATTTGTAACTATAGTTGATATGCCACTAATATGTATATTAATACTGAATACTATTATGCAGTGCATAAACATAATATATTTGCAAATAAGTAAAATTATTTCTCCAAGAAACAAATTGTTGATAGGAAACTCCCATATTTTGGAGTGAGATAATGTTCTGTATCTGACTGTATTCCTTATAGAAATATTTGAGAAAATAACCAGCAATTACACAACTACTAATATGTGTTGCCAATGTCTCAGGATGCTTCTGGACTTTGGTCTTACTGTCTTTCATCATTCCTAATTTGTGGAATTTATTAGGATAGAAGGTAAAATGAGATGTGTAGTGTGTCATCTCTCTCTCTCTCTCTCTTCTGTTTTCCCAAGTCTTTAATTTGCTCTTTTTAATTGGGCAAAAACATTTAGGAGGAAAAGAAGGACTAATTACACATTAAATTCTGCTAGCATCTACCATCTGGATGATTTCTCAGTCACTGGAATTAAAAATTACAGAATGATCTAAAAGGGATCAAAGGAATGCAGTTGCCACTGTTAATCATATGCAAGACCAAAAGTACAGATTCAATATCATAAACACAGGCAAAATCCAAATTCAGAAACAACTTGGGGGAGTAAAATTTGGTGATCTTTCTTTGTGGTCTTGGCAGAGTTGACTGCCCTCTTTTCTTTTCTTTTTGGTTTTTTTTTTTTAATCTATATTGTCAGATGAAAATCTGATGATGATGACATTACATTTCTCATAAAATCATAGAATTAAAGCAGGAATATCTATAAATATAATGAATAACAATATATTAGATACTGCCAGTAATTGCGTTTGCTATAAAAATGCCTCCTGCATCCCTTAGCAGCTTTATTGTAAAGCAATTTGCTGGAGATTTAGACCAGTATAAAATGAGGAAATGGAACTTGTGGT